TGCCTCTACAAGTACAGGATCTGCAATGCTTAAGTCGACCGGCGAGATGCTATACAACCCATATAAGGAATACACATCCAGTCGTTCTCCAAAGCCACCAATATCACGGAGTGGATCTGCACTTTCTACAACTACAACATCGTCGTCTTCTAGATCTCTCACGGCTCTTTCCGAGGCAAGTAGGCGGCCTTCTGAACTGATGCATACGGATACTCCTACCAACGATGGGCCCAATAAAAACGCGTTATCAACGGCAGGAAGTATGGCTGGAGCTTCTCTGAAGGGCTTTGGCAAGTTCACCGGAGCATACTTCAAAGGCGTGGTGGTAGACATTCCCTATGCTGCTGCTGAGGGTTTCCGACAGGTTCCTCGACTCTATGGAGAGGAACCTAAGCAGTATGGCACAGTTCGTGATTGGAAATCTGGTGCTACTATGGGCGGCAAGAACTTTGTCGATGGCATGACAGATGGATTCAAGGGGTTCTTCTCTCAGCCCATCAAAGGCGCGAGGGAAGAGGGGGCGCTAGGGGCCGTTAAAGGATTCGCAAAAGGGACCATTGGACTGGCGACTAAAGTTCCTTCGGGTAAGTACAACATTCTCCGAATAGATGCCCACCTCGTATAGAACGATCGCTGATTGGTATTCACGTATAGCTGGCATTGGGCTTGTCGCGTACCCTTTTCAAGGCATCGCGAAAACAATTGAAGCAGCCGTCAGGTCTAAGACAGGGAAGGCGATCCTTCTTGCCCGACTCAGAGATGGATACGCCATAACAGATCGAGCCCACATGCCGGAGGATGAGCAACAGTATCTCCTGCGGAGGTTCCAGGCTTTAACTGGTTGATGAAACACGATATCTCTTGGAACTTTGCTTCTGTAAGCCGGGGTGACATAACTACCATGTAGCCGTGAGCTGGACACTACTAGTATATATATATCAATATGATCTTTCCCCACCTACGGAGTGCTTATCAATGTAACGTATTTATTACCAGATAAACTTGCAATGAGCCCCGATGATTGCTCGCCAAGAGCGTCCAGAATAGACACAGAAGGGTGCAAACCAAGAAGAGATAACGTCCTTCTATCGGGCCCGCATCTGCCACTCACTAACTCCTTCCTTCCTCCGAACAGCAATGTTACAAGATTACAGATTCAGCAACAGACAGCCCTTGCAGACACTGAAAATATCAGAGTGATAAGACCGCTAGTTCTTGAGCAGCAGCGCAGTGCAGCATCTGAGGGTCTCAGCGAGCGCGACAAGCTCACATGATGTTGCCGGTATTGAACACTATGATCCGCAGCGTATAATGCTCATCAAAGTGTACTTTCGCTGACCTTTTGATCGCGTTCCTGCATCACTGTTGCATTCCCACAGCCTATCTGATTTGATATCGTAAGTCAATGTTGGTGCGACTCGATTTAGTAGCAGACCTAAAAACTGGACAAATGTGGGCTGATCTTGCTGTCACGAAAAGCCAGGAACAAATGTATCTCACCTACCATGCCTATAATATTGGCGCCAATGGCCCCGTGAAGTACTTGTGTCGTATCAAAAGCAATTTTATCTTCTCTCCGAGAGTTATTTCCTGGGCTAGCGACTTTTTACGGACGACATATTACAATGTTTGATTATATTTCATACAAGAAAACGACTGCTTCAGGAGATCATAGAGACCTGAAAGAGAAGGCATGGAATTGTTTCTTCCTTCCCAGCAGTAACGTCGCCTTTGTCACTAAAGGATTGAGTACTACTGGATGTGATTCCCAGCTTGACTCCATAGAAAAGCTGGCAGGCGTCTCGCTTTCACCTTGAGACTGATCAGCAGGGCTTCCCCAAATATGAAACGTGAGCCTTGGCCTATCGATGATTGGATTATGTGTCATTCAAGGAATCTGCCAGTTGCTGAACCCTATTGGATGTTTACATCTGCTAATCAAAGGAAAGTGGAAAATGCGTCTCTGCGCAGATCCCTGGTTCGATGTACAAAATTTGGGCATATTGTCGTGCATAAGGTGACAGGAGATAGCGTCCGATACCAAACTAGGACGGGAAGGCATCGCCGAGACATTCACCAGATTGCTTATCACTATCCACATTAGCGTGCAACCAATTCCGTGACAATCCGGCTTTCATCCATTGCCCCTGCAGGGCTAAATTGGTCTTAATTTCTATCCAGGCCTGACGCAAGCCTGTCCTCCAATCGGCAGCACGAGGGCCTCGGCATGCCCTCGCTGTCATGGAGCCCACGCTGCCCTATCTCCACCGGCTATTTACCCACCATTCAATCATTGCGGAGCTCGGAAGAACGTGCAGAAAGGCGGAACCATTTTCATCCGCATCCATTTAGTGTCATATGGATGATCTATGCGATATGCGTTTGAACAGGTGATCAGGGGGTACTGGCAGAGGCACCACCCTCCATGGGCTATGATCGTCGGTCCTATATGGTCGAACCTATATAAGGCGCGCAACAAACCCTTGGCTTTGGGCTGTTGAAAAGCAACTCCGTCTGTTGCACCAATCTTGATAACAGGCTAAATGAGAATTTCAGGCTTATTGTGTTTTGCGGCCCTTTCCGGTGTTGCTCTCGCTTCTACCGAGACTGAGATCGCCAAAAGGTCGACAGTCAGCGAGATATTGACTGATATCGAGGATGCTGCCACCTGTGCGGCATGTGAGGTCTGTCGCTCCACTGGGCACTTTGATAACAGCGCTTGATGCTCACTTCTCTCGCATATATTTGTAGGCTCTTCTTGTTGTTCTGCAGGCCCTTGCACACTTGGGCAATGATGACTTTGTCGATGTGATCACGGAAGTCTGCATCTTAGCTGGGGTAAGCTTCTGATTTCACGTCTCTGTTGAAGGAGGCTAAAATTTCCAGGTTGATGACGACGATGTCTGTGAGGGTGCAATTGCCCGCGAAGGCCCAATCTTGGCTCACGACTTGCGCAACATGGACGTTCCCTCAAAGACAGCGGTTCTATTCTGTACAACTATTTTCGGGCTGTGCGATTACCCTGCAGTGGCTGAATATACCGTGGATTTCCCATCTGCCAAACCCGCAAATGCGTCACGTCCAGCACCAAGCGGAGAGACTCCTCTGCAAATTGTCCACATCAGTGACATCCACGTCGACCTTTCGTACGAGACCGGCGCTAAGTATGCGATCTTCACCCACTGTGGGAAGACAACGACTAACCATTCTGCCAGCTACAACTGCACCAAGCCCATTTGCTGCCGTCCCTACACTTCCTCCGACGACCCAGGTGTGACAGACTACCCGGCTGGCGAATACGGAAACCATAACTGCGATGCCCCCCTCACACTGGAAGAGAGCATGTACTCGGCTATCAACGACCTCGTTCCCAATGCCTCGTTCGTCATATTCACCGGCGACGTCGTCGAAGGTGCCGTCTGGCTAGTCAACGAAACCGAAGTAACCAACGACTTAAACGATGCGTACAACTCCCGAATGGCCGAATACTTCGACCTTGTCTACGGCGTCACCGGTAACCACGATTGCGCCCCTGTAAACTCCTTCCCGCCAGCTGATATCGACACCACCATCTCCAGCCAGTGGGCATACGACACCCTCTCCTCCGACTGGAGCCAATGGATCGGATCCACCGCCGCCAGCACAGCCGATGACTACGGCGCCTACTCAGTCAAATACTCCGGCGGCAACCTGCGCCTCATCTCCTTCAACACCAACCTCTACTACAAAGAAAACTTCTGGCTCTACGAGAAAACCATGGAAAAGGACCCCAGTGGCCAGCTCGCCTGGCTCGTGGACGAGCTCTCCGCAGCAGAAACAGCCGGCGAACGCGTCTGGCTAATGGGCCACATGCCCATGGGATCCGGCGACACCTTCCACGACGCCTCCAACTACTTCAACCAGATCATCCAGCGTTACGACGCCACCATCGCCGCCGTCTTCTACGGCCACACCCACAAAGACGAGTTCGAACTCGCCTACTCCAACTACACAGACCAGTCCGCTGACACCGCATCCATGATGTCCTACATCATGCCCGCCATGACCCCCACCTCCGGTAACCCTGCGTTCCGCGTCTACTCCGTCGACCCCGTCACCTTCGGCGTCCTCGACTTCACCGAGTACATCACCAACATGTCCAGCTCTACCTACCAGACAAACCCCACCTGGGAGAAATACTACTCTGCTAAGGAGACCTACGGATCGCTACTTGACCCGCCCGTTACTGACAGTGCCGCGGAGCTAACCCCGGCTTTCTGGCACAATGTCACGGTGCTCTTTGAGAACGATGACTCCGTCTTCCAGGATTATTATGCCCGTAAGAGCCGTGGATGGGATGTCTCTGACTGTTCGGGTGACTGTAAAACGGATGAGATCTGTCAGTTGCGTGCTGCTGAGTCGCAGTATAATTGTGTGGAGATTACCCCTGGCATTAGCTTTAAGAAGAGGGATGCTATTACTACTAGGGATACGAGCACGAATACCAGGGAGAGTACCTGTGGTGAGTCGGTGGTGGGTCAGATGTTTTCGAGCTTTGATAATGCTGTCGAGGCGCTGATTAAGGCTACGGAGGCGAAGTTGGGTTCCGGGTTCCTTAATACTACGGTTAACGCGACTGTTTCCTAAAATGTGTGGGGGAGGGGTGGTGTTTAGTTCGGTGTTGTGGTGGGGAGTGTCTGTGTGTTACTAGTTGTGATTATGGAAATGAATAATTTTCAAGACAGACTGGCGCTGTATTGCCCATACCCAATTTCCATTTGATACACTTGTCTAGTCGATTGGGGTTCTCTTCCATATGTCTTCTGCAGCCAATCTTCAGAATTGCAGAGTAATAATGAGCTACATGAGTTAAGTATTGAGGGCATCAATCGTAATCAAAATTCCAAAAGCCCCAAGCAACTTGAAACACCCCACTATCTCTACTAACAATAGTCATCTAGGGATGATTCCTTCAGCATAGTTTGAAGTCTGCCAACGTCTCGAACCAGCGTGACAGCTCGTCAAGGTGTAAATGTGATCGATGTCCCAGTTTCACCAGGCCCGTCGTTCAATTGCAGGCTGTGCAGTACCACCTTGAAGAGGCCCCAGGGATGGCATGGAACGATGAGAAGATTCCTCGGGGTCGTATCAATTCTATGCCAGCCTCGACTCTGCAGAATCTGTCTGATGTTGCAAAGATCCCTGAAAATGAACTGCCATGTGTGCTGTAAGATGTAGTGCATATCGAGGAATGGGGTTCCGATGAGAGGAACGAGAATCAATCCAGGGCAAGATCCAAAGAAGGTGTACCCCATTTCATTCGTTACTTGCCATGCCATCGTAACAGTACCAAGCAGTTTGGGGATATGTCCCACTTGAAGGTCACGAAGATTGTTGTACGCTTGCAGTTCCGTCTCGTAGTAATACATCATGGCCCTTTGGAGATGCTCTTCTCTTTGATTCAAGCTGAGAGTATTTGGTGGATCTTGACTGCCTGCAGGATTACTTGATGGCTGTGCATTCGGCATGGCTGGCCATGACCCATAATACCGATATCCCGCTTCGATGGCATGGCACCAATTCGGACAGCCAAACCTCAATCGCATGCCTGGTGTAAAGCGTCTGTCGAACATTCTGACCTGTAGTGTTCCGCCTAAAGTGCCCAGAGGTCCCTCGACTTGGACAGTCACCGCGCACGCCTTCCAAAAGGGTTTATGCACGTCCACAATTCGGCATGTCAATGTTATTGGCTGGCCTTGGAAGTAGTTGACGGAATTCAATATTATAATGTTGCCACGGAAGTAGGGAGTCCTTCGATGGTTATCAAACTGTGCATTTCATGGTGACAGTCACCTACCCTTCTCCATTGCCGGCACCATATTGCGGAAACCATGGGCGTGAAGGGTCGTAAGGTACAGGTTCTCCTGGAAGGAGCATTCTTCTCTGCTGCATTATAGGAGAGTATAAGAATGAGACAATAGGAATAATTAGGATGTTTAGGTCCGTGTGCGGAAGAAAAAGTAGTAGAGTTGGTTTGTTGAGAAAAGAATAATAAATGAAGTCTAGGCGTTCATCCTGTTCAATAAGGGAGTCGCAACCTTGGTCTTTCCCTTGCAAGTTACACGTCTCATACATTCCAATCTTGCAGTACTAACTTCTCATAAATACGGCAGCGGCCCTTGCCAGTTCATCCAAGGACGCTCCGTCAGATAGATCGAATAAAACCGGCCTTCGTCGGGTGTGGTCACCAAAGGCTCGAGCTACTTGTGCAACTGTCTCTCCCTCAGAGGAGGGCCCGTAGACTCGCGTCGTAAATCCTTTCTCGATGTCGCCGTCTATCACGGCAGGCCATGGTCTAATGCCATGGCAAAACTTAAAGAAATCAACTGCGAACGCAGCTGCTATCTTCTGCTGCGGAGGAGTCAAGAACTCTCTAAAATTCTGGAACAGGTAAGCGACATCCAATATGTGGCCAGCCTTGCTCTTCCAAGGTCCATCCCAAGGATTTCCCTCGTTGAAGTAGTAGACATTTGTATGCCCTTTCCACCCACGCGTGTATGTCAGCGTTGGCGCCAATATGAAGATATCGTTAAGGTAGTTGAGAACCGCAGGGAAAGCCTCATCGTCCGTAGTTTCGGCAGTCAACCCGTATCCTGCCAATATCTGTGTCGCTAGTTCTTGCTTGGAGGGAAAGACGGAGTGAATGGCTTTCGCAAATCGCCCTGCACATGCGTTCTTCAAATGAGGCAGTAGGATGGCGAGAATGTTGATCTAGAAAAGTAAGTGTAAGTTCAAAATACTTGAATATTCGTAATCTCCGACCACTCACATCATACTGGGCATCACCAATTAATAAATCGCGACACCACTGTTTTCCCTTGGGGATATCGCTTGTCTGATCAGCTACCTGTGCATATGTTACGGCAGACGGAACCATATCTCCATCAACCGCAGGAGAAGTTAAGACAGATGGAGGAAGTTTAGCAAGCAGATCTTGGCCCGGTGTTTCCAAAAGGGCCTTGATCCTTTCGTCCGACGTAGCATTTTGCAATCCAAGTGCCGACATCGCGTGTTGATAGTTGCCCTCGTGGGCGTCGTATGGCAGAGCCTGGACAAAGAACCGAGAGCCACTCATCAAAATAGCGCGTTTGAATAGCGGTGTTTCGGAGTCGAGATGGAATGTGACGGAGGCTATACTGTTCAGTTCCCTTCCTTTAGAGGAGAAACGAGAGAAGGCTTACCTGCTCCAGCACTCATCCCAGCGACAGTGATGTTATCGATATCCCCTCCAAAGTCTGCAATGTGCCTGCGTACCCATTCCAAAGCCACCCTCTGGTCTCGCAGCCCATTGTTGGCTTTATACCCAGCGTTGCGCAGTTCATCGGAGGTCAAGAATCCAAATGGTCCTAGACGATAGCTTGACGATTGTTAAGTAATTTTTGTTTTGTGTATAGCCACAATATATCTACTCACTTGATTGATACTGCAACAATTGGTAGTCCACTGTCAATGGACAACTTGACGAAACGCTCGTAGTCAAACTGAGGCCAGGAATTCGCCCCAATCATGAGACCACCGCCATGGATGAAGACAAAAACGGGAAGTTTCGAATGCGCAGAAGTGCCTGCAGGGACAGCAATATTCAGGTTCAGACAGTCCACATCCGACTGGGTGAGCTCCTTCTTGGGTAGGGTGTGTTGAATCGCGCTGAGTTCCAAGTCACAACCACCTAGGGGTGATATCGCGGTGGGCCTATAAAGACCTCCTTTAGTGTGTGACTGAAAAGAGAAGCCAAGAAGTCGTGCAGCTTTCAATGATCAAATGACTTACCCATCTTTAGTTGCGTCAAGAACGCCTCCAGCGCGCCTTTCGACTAGTTCTGCATCTGCAAGTCTATTCTTCAGGGTGGCATACTTGATACCCAAGAACTGGGTGACACCATTCGTGGTTTTCCCGCGAATTTCACCGAGATGTGTAGTGGTCTGGATTATGCTTGACATTGTCTTGATTTATAAACAATGAGAGAGAGGAAAGATGTAGTCGTGGAGAGGAATGGTATTGATTTGAGTTGATGGCAGTCCGGAGTTAAGGATATAGCAACCCCTCGGAAATCCCCCCGTGCGGATATGCGGGGATCCCCATGTCCATCTTGACTCTTTTTGGTATCACCCTGCCCCCGGCTCTGTTGACACTCGGTCCGATGCTGCAGCTGCTAAGCGACTTCAATCAGACCATGGCTGTCGCGTTGCTTTTGCTGCGCTCAACATAAGGCATGGCCCAACCGCTGCTACTTGACCACGACTTCAACAGTAGTGATCCAGACCCCTACTGTCCTGTCAATGACTTGTAGATATCGTCTACCAAAAATTCCATGTCTGGCGTGAAATTACGACTAATTTATATGACGCTCAACTATCATAAATCCAAACTCCGCGATGCACCAAAAAGAGCAAATCTATCAGCACATCAACCAACTGAAAGTTCATGACTGGAAGTTCATGCTATATCCACCCGTCTTCGGATCCTGCACAAAGTTGAAGTTATCTGTCGACAGCCCGAACGGCTTAAGGAATCCATTACCCAGCTATAGTCTGTTAGCACGTCGCTAGATAATTTTGGAGCGCATCGACTTACATCCTTGAGCTTCCCCATCATCTCCCCCATCTCCTTCTCCCTCGCTTGACCGATCTTCGCAGGCAACTCCCGAAGAGCCTTCTGCACAACACGCTTATCGTCCGGTGGAAGGTTATCCATCGCAGCCAGTTCCTTATAATCTTCTTCCGCCCCTTGCAGGTTCCCCCAGCCGCCGAGCTGCATTTTCGCCCGCGCCCGTCGCATGAGCGCCTTTGCGCGAATACGCAGCACATCCCGTTTCCTCTCATCTTGCTTTTGTAACCTCTTCAGCTCTTCCTCGGCTTCATCATCATCACCCGTTATCTCGACTACGGCGTCTTCGCCACTCGACTCTTGCGGCTGCTTTCCCTTGACACCCTCCGCATCTGCTGCCCCTGTCGCAGGAGGAATCACCTTATCCAAGCGATCGATGCATGCTGTCGCTGAGTCGACAGACGCTTTCCAGTCTTCGAGTTTTAGATAACATGCGGCCATGTTGCTTCGCAGAACGGCGACTTCGTAGTCGAGGTAGTTGGGGCATGAGGCGAGGGCGCGGTCGTAGCACGAGATAGCTTGGTCATAACACGCTGCGGTAAATAGTTTATTGGCTTCAGCTTTGATGGTATGGGATTCTTCTAAGAGTCGCTGGTTTCCGTATCCATATCAGTATCCTGCTGGTAGTGAGGGGCAGGAAGTAGCTAGGCTCACTCACCGTTTCTTCTTCGGCGGGGAAGCGCGCATCGTGAAACACGTCCTCTTCTTCTTCACCGTCACTGTTAGCCGCATTGTCGGCTTTCTGCTTCGCGTCGTTTGTCATATCTGTCCTGATAGTTTGTAGGCTCACCAAGTGTCTGTAGTCCACTAGTGGTTTGCTCTGCTCTGGTGGTTCCAGAAGCTACTTGCAGCTCCGCGGAGTCGGCGAGTCGGAGTCGGAGATGCCGCTGCCCCTCTTTGCCTAAGGCACTGATTTCCCCTCCTGCCGATCTCCGATATCCATTCATCGTTAACGGTCAAGGTGCATATTTGCTGTTTACCATCAACGCTGGACGCATTATCCTCGCATTCAGATATTAGAGGCAACCATCTGCAATATGTCTAGCTCAGCCCAAGAGTATGGCTTGAATACCCCCGTAAATGCCTCTCAATTAGCTGATTGATACCCAGTCTACCCCGCGTGCGGGCATGTCTCTTCGACATGGATGGCCTGCTCATCGACTCGGAGGACAAATACACGGATATCACCAATGCCATTCTTCAAGAATATGGAAAGCCTTTGCTCCCGTGGTCTATCAAGGCTCAATTGCAGGGTCGTCCTCAACCAGATGTAAGTACACTCCCTTCCCCATCCTCCCAGTTCCCCGCTGCAGTTCACTTTATATGCCTCTACCCTCCTTCCCATCTCCTATTTTCATTCCTCTGACTGTCCATTCCAGGCCAGCCGTATCTTCCACCAATGGGCCCAGCTCCCCATCTCTCCCGAAGAATTCGCCGCCAAGCAATCCGCCCTGCAAGAGAAATTCTTCCCTCAATCCCAGCCCCTCCCCGGAGTCAGGGAGCTCCTCGCCAAGCTTGTTTCCACCCAAACCACCGACCAGCCCGTGCACCTTGCCCTGGCCACCTCTTCCCACAGCCGCAACTTCAAGCTGAAGGCCAGCCATCTGGGCGAGTTGTTTTCCGCATTCCCGAAATCCCAACAAGTCCTGGGCGACGATCCCCGCATCGGCAAGGGACGGGGTAAGCCGCTTCCCGATATCTATCTGCTCGCGCTAGAGACCATCAACTCGGGTCTGCGCGAAAAGGGAGAGACTGAGATCAAGCCTGAGGAGTGTCTGGTCTTTGAGGACGCGGTGCCTGGCGTTGAGGCCGGTCGGAGGGCCGGTATGCGGGTTGTTTGGGTCCCGCATCTCGGATTGTTGGAGTCGTATAAGGGGCGTGAGGAGGAGGTGTTGGCTGGGCTTACTGGGGAACATAAGGAAGAGGAGAAGACTGAGCCGGAGCGTGAGGCCGATGAACTGGTCGCCGGTCGGTTGAAGAGTGCCGGTAAGCCCGGTGAGATCGGTGATGGGTGGGGAGAGTTGTTGCCTTCTTTGGGGAATTTCCCATATGAACGTTATGGAATTAAACCTGCGTGATTTCATTTCTTGTCTACCGGGTTATTATAGACATGAAGTTTCTGGCAATCTAGAAATGTACAGCCACGTCAGGCGAAGATTTGATACCCGTGAGAAATTAAGAAAGACTATGTACCCCGAAGGATAACGCAGAAGCAAAAGAAAAACAATCTCAGAAGTAGAAAATTAAAAAAAAAAAAAAAAAAAGCAAACGTGTAAGAACACAATTGTAGCAGAAAATCAAATAAAATCAAATACGTAACTGAAAACAACAAAAGCAGAAAAATCAGATCCCAGAAGCAGCAAATAAAATCAAATTCCCGCGAAATCCACCATATTAGAAAAACGAAAAAAGGAAACATTAAGCACCAGAACTCATACAAAATGGGAGAAAGGCATGTACCTGAAGGAAAGCGAAAAAGAAACAAATGTTGAAGTAAATTGAAGCAAAACAGTGCATGAGACCAGCTCAGCGCCGATTTAATCAAAAGTGTCGACCAAATTGTCGTACACATTAGCCTCGATTACCCAAATTGAGCACCTTCTGAGCATGGTGTTTCGAAACAATGTATTAGAGGATCCTGAGTGTAGAGCCAATGCGAAAGTATTCCAGTCACGAGAGAAGAGAAGAAAGAAGATGGGTGGTATTCCAATGGCAACGCCAGAAAGCGAGTCGGAGTTTGGGTATCATCGACTGGGGTATCACAAAACAACTACAACTGCCAAAAACCTCCATAGATTTAGTGGTTCGTAGATTCGTAGACCAAACTAGATGTAGTAGATGGTGTGTCGGTCTTGACTGTATTATGAGGAGATGTATGTTCTTGTAAATCGAGAAGTGAGATGTATTCGAAAGACGTAAGTCCTGTTGTCCTTTTCCTGTCTGTCGTAAAAGCCTGTTATCGTCGTAAACATTCGTAAAGTAGATTATTGACAAGCAACTTGTGCTGTCGCGCGCTTTCTGCGTGTAGATATTATGTGTTCTGTTCAGAGTGGTTTGAGAGTTGTATCATAACGAGCACCAAGTTCTTTTCGCGTTGCTGTCTGATGTAGGGTCTGTTATTATGTTCAATAGTTCGTTAAGTGGTGTAATTGACAAGCAACTGGTGTCGTCGGGTCCCTTTTCTATCGTATGAGCCTGTTCGATGATCTTTTCGACGAGTGGTTGTTATGTTTGAGGTGCAATTAATGCTGCCGCTTGGCCGAAGGAGAATCGTCCTCGACATCCGTTTTTTCCCTTCTGCGCTTACGTGTACCCGATACAGGACCTGGCATCTGTGCTTGATGTCCCATGTGAGGCTGGTGGCCCATCTGGGATTGGTGGCCCATCCGAGGTTGGTGTCCCATTTGGACCGGATTTCCCATCTGTTGTGGGTATCCCATCTGTGAGTATGGATGAGATTGCGAAGCGAGCTGGTTGTAATTGACCATCAAGTTTCGTCCCAACAGGGTGTTGATTGTTTGCTCCGGGTTGTACGGATGAGGAGACGCCTGAGCGGTTGGAGGCATTGTGACGGACCCGGCATTTTGTCTTGGATGTGAGGTTGGGCCCATCATACGATTGTTATAGGCTTGAGCAGCGGCAACTCTGTTCAAAGGTACCGACTGGTAACCCTGTGGGCCAGGTCTGACTTGTGGAACGGGTGTAGGGGTTCCTGCGCTCATCGCAATTTGGTATCTAACTTTGTTGGCGGAGGCCATGATGTTCATCTGCTGGGACGTGTTGGATGGAGTGGCAGGGGGAGGGTTTCTTCCGGTCGCTGCAATATTGCCAGGGGTGTTGTTTGGGGTCATTGCAGCACCGGCGTTGTTTACTGGAGGCGCGGTAGTCATGGTAGGCATAGCAGACGCTGTGGACATTGTAGGCGCTGCAACCCTAACCGGCTGGTTGATGGTGGTAGATTCAGCCGCCTTTCTGGCTCCGAGAACTTGCTTGCCCGCGTTCATCACTTCACCTTTGCGCTTGTTCAAAGTCTTATTGGCAATGACACGCTTTTGAGCAGCCTGCGGATCATCAACAAACTGATGCATGTAAGGGGCATCTAGTAGATGCTTGCAAATTGTTTTTTGGGTTTCGAGACAATCTAGAACTTTAGTCATGCGTTCAGCGAACGTCAGCAAATCGCTCGTAATCTTTCTTTTCAGTCCATGAGCTGCCAACAATGAACCCGAGATTTGTCTGGTAATAACGCAGTCCTAATAGCAACGTTAAATCCATTACGCAACAGTATCGCCTGGCTCCACGACTTACCAATATCTCCCAGCACACGCATTCGACTCTCTCGGCGCTATACTTGCCCTCTTTGAATGGCTTGATCATTCCAGGGTTATCCTCGGCGTTCTTGAAACTGAGCATCGCCTTGGTTAGGGCCCTAACAATTGCCTGTTTTTGTAGATCGTTGGTGGGCAGGGTTGAGTCCTCTCGAACGCCATCCTGCACCGGGCGTGCTGCCCTGGCTTCCTCGACTGAAGAGTACAGCGTACCGCAGTCTATATTATAAGCTTCCGGGTTCATCAGCTGGTCCATCAGTGATACGGGGCTTGGCTGTGGGTTATGAACAGGGGCCTGGGCGGTCATGACCGGCTGGCCAGAGATATCAATCGGGAAGGTGGCTTCGCCTTGACCGGAGGGCGCATAATGACCATCAGAGGGGCTGTTCTGCTGCACAGAGTTTCTGCTGCTTCCAGATGATATGCCTTGGTTGAATTCCTCGACTGCCCCAAGTTGGCCAGGGAGGTATTCGGCTGGACTGGAGTGCATTGGTTCAGATCCAGTCTCCGGCGAAGATTGGATCATGGTGCCGTTCTGGCAAGCAACCTGCTGAGAAGGGAAGATACCCTGATACACTTGAGTCCCTTGCTGGGGTGCCAATCCAATGATCTGATTTCCGATGCTCTGATGTCCAGTCATCTGGTTCCCGGTGAACAGATGTTCATTCATCTGGCTTCCGGCGAACTGATTTCCAACCATCTGATGTTCGATGAGCTGGCTTTCGGCGTTCTGATGTCCAGTGAACTGGCTTCCAGGGTTGCCGGTAATCTGATCGCCAGGCGAAGATGCTTTGCACTTCTGGGACGTACCAGAATTGCCGGAAGAACCAGAACTAGAACGGTTTCTATCCACTTGGTTTGCCGGCATAGTAGTTCCCTGAAGCCCACCAGCAGCATAGACTGGCTGCGAAGGTGGAGTACTCTTTTGAGAACCATTTGAAGAGACGTCCTGTACTCCGGTTACATTGCCGAGCATGCTTGCGGCCTGGTCAGTGGGGGTGGCGTTGTATGAGCTCCTCGAGACGTTATCCACATGGTTGCCTGGGGCATCTCCCACGAGGTTGCTGGGAGCGTTGTTCACGTAATTGTTTCCACGATTAAAGAAGTCCTCATTGTCGGCCTCAGTAAATGAGACGCCCGAGTTATTGACAGCAACACCAGCCCCAAGAGCATAACAAGGGAGGGTAGAGTAACCGCTTGGTAATGATTCGCGCGTTTGCTTCAACGTGGTTTGCTGAACACCGTTTATAGGACCCATGATAGGGCCAATCACACCAGTGAAGTAAGTAGAAGCAAATACACGGGCATCTGGAGGCGCCAGATTTCCCATATGTTGGTTTACAGGTACAGATCCAGGATGCATCAAAGCCGTAGCGGCGGATTGCCCAGTAGTGCTAGGGTTCAGGTCTCCAGACATGGTTCCGGGCTGAGGTGTAGCCGTAGCAGTGGACTGCCCAGTAGTACTGGGATTCATGTTCTGGACAGCCGCAGTCTGATCAAAATTCCCAATATCCTCATTAGGGTTGGTTTGGTTATCCCCAATTTCAGGCGATACTGCGTTGTCGAGGATTGCAGAATGACTGTGCTCTGAATCCCATGGAGGCAATGCCGACAGGTCTATATCCTCTCCCGTAGTGAAACGATCAGAAAGATCCCCCAAAACACCAGCGTCCTGCGCCATGGCGGTGCTTGGGAGGTCTTGAACTGAAAAGTTTTGAGCATTGTTAGTATGCCCTTCTGGTGCTGTAACGTAGTTATAACTAGTATATAAAGTTAGGTGCGGTTGGCACTAAAGTACAGAAACAAGCGAATGGATACTTACGCGTTGTTTGCCCCAATGCAACCTTCAAAGAGTGCATCGAATTCTCCGGTTTCAGTGAAGGACACATCGTTCACCAGTGCTCCTGTAGGAGAAAAGGTAGCCATTTCGGAAAATGACCAACACTGGTCCTTTGCTGGACGAGATATCCCAAGACTCGTTCCTGAGCGCGTTTCTGAAAGTTCCAGAAGCAGGAATAAACAAGGACAACTTGACCAAAGTGTTGATGTAGGTGAAATAAGCAAATCCAACGTCCTTAGGGCTACAATATGCCTGTGAAGCAAGATGTTTGATTGATCACAAGAAGCTCTGTACTCTGAGGAATGAGGATGTAGACACGAGGAATATGGAAAGAAGAGAGGAGGGAAGGGGAGAGAAGATAAGTACTGTGTGAAAACTCAGGCATTTTGTGAATTTTGCATGCTATTCACTACCTGTGAATGGAATCACAAACACATTAACACACTTGCCTTTTAGTAGGGAATCAGGATCCACTGGGCTGTAGAGAAATCCATAGTAAAGGCCGAAAACTGGGATCCAGGCCAAGCCACCCCATCTCCAGGCAACAAGAACACTGAATTTGGAAAAATAATCTTGTTGAAGGCTCAAATTGATTCTATCTGTGTTTGGTAGACATATTGGTAGGTGTGGCTAGATTCACAGGATTCACGTTCACAGATCCCGGTTCACAGATTCACGATCACGTTGGTGGAGGGGTTGCCTGAATTCACGCATTCACAAAGTGGAGATGAAACAGCGTGAATCTGTGAATTTCTGACATCCTGTGGGAAAATCCAATTTTCAAAAAAGATCTCTGGGTTGTCTTAGTCTCCGGCACCAGTAACCCAAAGTCCCTTGATCACCTATTCTTCTCCAGAGTGATATTTCAAGTATGTCCTCGGCCGGCAGAGATGCAAGCACTTTATAGCGGCATGGCCTATTATTCGCTGCTGCTGCTGCTGCTGCAGGAACCCGGCCTAAAGACACTAGCCCCCGATCGCTTCATGCACCCATATATCGGGTCCTTTATGTTTAAGATCCCCAGCACAGGGCTTTGCAGGTTGACGGATAAGGAATGCGGAGAAATTCAAACCTTCGGGGTGCGCAGAGACAACATGAACCACTGCATGACCTCCGACAAGCCCTTTTTCAGTCGTCATTGCTGTCCGCATTTAGAAATGGCATATACCACACCTTCAAGCTGTTGTCAATATTAGGTACAGGTGGTGGGCCGGTATTGTCGATGTCTTTCTCGAAGTGCCGTTGACCTGAGGTTGTAGCTACTATATTCCCCATTGGATGCAGTACAGTACTACTAACAGTATCTATGATTCTATATTAGCTTGGGTGTCCTTGTCTTTCATCGGGAAGCATACTTACCGTTATGAACCTTCCATTCCCACTTTGGATCCTGAGCACCACTAACATGTGTAGGGTTCTGCCACACCCTCATGCATCCATCGGTTCCGCCAGCCCAGATCTCATGGGAGCCGTTTTCTCCACTGGGAACTATATCGATTTTCAGCCGTTGGTTTGTGAAAGCCTTGCGACCTTGCAGCCATCCAAGCAATTGTCCTGTGACTCGGATATCATATACCAAGACACCATCACTTTTCCGTTCAGCAACGTAGAGGTACCTTCCGCAGGGGCTCCACAGCAGTTGAGTGATTCCACGACCGCCAATATGACGGTGCGCTTCTGTTTTCGATATGCTGAATGTCCCTAAGGACTCCCCTGTTCCATGTGCACCATAAAGCCCAACATGTCTGGTGAAGGTTCCGGCCGCTAAAATACCAGCCCCGGTGGGATCCAAGGCCATGGCAGAGATGATTCCTTTCATTCCCACGCCCCCACCCACCAGTTGCTTTCGTTTACTTGGTATTGTGGGCATGGAAGTAACAGGGCCTTCGTTGCCGGGTCGCGATACATCGAAGAGGCAAATCAGGCTGTCAGAGCCAGTGAGAAATTGGCTCCCTCCCAACGCAGATGGATAAATGATTGAATGGGGCGTTATGAAGGCTTCTGTCATTGGGTTTACCAGAGAATAGGTCGCCACTGAGGTTGGAGCAAGAGCAGATGTCAACCTGATAGGATGGTCTCGAACAGATGAGAGAAATAATGTAGTCGACGGGTCTTGAAGGGAGAAAAAAGGGTACATGGCAGTTGCATAGGTCGGTTCTGCCGACGGCAAGACTGAGTATGGCGATATACTGCTGGGGTAGGTCGTTTCTTCTAGCATATCGGGTGGTCTGTAGAATGTTAGTCAAGGCTATGTTAACAATAGCTGAATGGGATTTACTGACAAGATCCAAGTTCTGATATGATGGTCGGAGGAATCCGTCAATAAAGTGGTTCCATCCGCCGACCTGGATTCCAAGATCAGCCAAGCGCTGATAGTTATATTAAGAGACTTACCATTCTGCACCCTTGAAATATTGTGTATTAGGGTTTTGGCTGAGACTGCGGTCCTCCTTTGGCTGTAAGGAGGTGGAGCCTTGAGATTCCAGAGAAGGGCTGCCAAACCCTGAACTATGCTCGCCGCCACTAGAAAGGGTAGAAGCGACACATATGGGCTCTTGTTCTTCGGCCATTCTGGGGGCTGAGGCTTCTTATATAGTAGCAGGTTGCAACAATAAACAAAAACTGGAATGGCTGGAGGCGTTGTGAAGCAGTGGGTGGAGCAAAGGATTGACATTCGCTACCCTTTGTTCTCAATGCCAAATGCCTTGGATTCAAGTATATTGTAGCATGAGGCACAGTCAATTCAGTATTGTGGAATAGAGCCAATGAGGCGACAATTGAAGAAAGCCAAGTGACGAGGTTATCACGTCTACATATGTGAATTAGCTTCTACAGTGCCTGCAAATGGGAATCAAGAGAAATAGCAACCTGCAATGAAGTGTACAATGATGTTAATGTGGGGCTGATAGATATTCTCTTAGCTTCTTCATCAATGAGCTAAATCTGAAAAGCCGTAACTGATAATCGATCTGAAGTGCTTTCTTCAAATGATTGGTGGTTATACTGCGTTTAGTTAGTTGGTCCTTATCGATAACGCTGAATAATCTCGGGCCGGCAAATCTTTCCCCATCCAACACTAGCCGGGGAGGATCGTCTTGATTGTTGTTTTCCGACGTCGCAACTCGATCCAGCTCCTGTGGACATTGTGCTGGCACAAGACCCTCTTGACGGGCGCAACAAAGGTTCTTGTCGCGTTAACACTATCGAAACTCACTCGACACCTGAGCCCTCGTTTTTATCTCCCATCTAAACCGTCCATCATGTTCGGTACAAAGCCTGCCGGCACATCAACCGGCCTGTCCATCAACACTGGTTCTGCCAATTCTCTATTGTAAGGCTTTTCCTGTTGCATCTGTTAGTGGCCTCATGGTGTCACCTTGGTCCACGCCTGTATGAGGGGCTCAAACCGCAATTGCTTCGTCGCATCCCTTCGAATTTCTGGCCTTCATTGGAGCCTCGAAAAAGCTAACAATATTGTTTTATCAGTGGCTCTGGAACCAATACGCAGACTAGCACTACAACGACACCGGCGACTACCACTACCTCCGGTGGGTTATTCGGTAATCTTGGAAATACTGCCACACAGTCAAAGCCAGCCGGTGGCCTATTTGGAAACGCAGGAGGCGCTACACAGCAATCTCAGCCTGCCGGTTCGAGTCTGTTTCCGGGGTTAGGCGGCCAGCAGTCGAATACTACTTCAACTGGCGGGGGTCTGTTTGGAAACTCTACTGCCACAACTTCGCAACCACAGACAGGTGGTCTTTTCTCAGGAGCCACCACCACGACCAACAACACACAGAGCGGGAACACTGGTGGGGGCCTATTCGGCAATCTGGGCGGTAACACCGCAAACCAGACACAATCAAAGCCACTTTTTGGTGGACTTGGCGGCTCTACGACTACCGGAGGGGGCCTATTGTAAGTGAATTTCCTGCCCACAACATCAATCGTGGCTCATGCCAACTATCACAGTGGCGGCGCCAACCAAACCAGCGCGCAGCAGCAGCAGCAGCAATCACAGAAGCCTACTCTGTCTTTGTTCGGAAATCAGAATACCACAACACAACCAACGACACAACCCACGGCCGCGGCCGGGACAACGGTCATCCCTGGGGTCAAGGTCGATATCAGCAACATTCTTCCTACAACGAAATACGAGAGCTGCGCAGATGAGATCAAATCGGAGTTAGAAAAGTTTGATAACTTCGTCCTCAACCAGATCAAGATATGCAACGAGGTTGCGAACATGATACCCACTATAGCCGGCCAGGGAGAGACGATTCCACATGATGTTGAGTTTGTCCAGGGAAAATTAGAGACGATGCAGCACGCACTCGAGAATGACGCAGGTGACATTGATCAGCTTCGTAATCTTGTGTCTCGCGACGCAGCTGAGGCTCAAGTTGCATTCCGAGCGATTGATACCTTGAAGTTGCCACTGCAATATCGATCTACCGGTGGGGCTGGATGGTGGTCTCAGGATCAGAAGATGTCAGATGGACAAGCCTTGAGATCTACGCGCAAGAACACTCTAGCTCTCCCGGACGATGTTGAAAGCGACCCGTCCACTGCCACATCGGTGAACGGAGTACCCGTCAACTTGGTTGACTACTTCTCTCAGCGCTCGGACGAGATGGGAGAGGTCTTGGAACGCTACACACGGAACTTGAAAGAGATTGAAGACCACCTTCACGGAGTTGAGGCGACTTTGGAACGACAGATCCATGACTTTGTGACATCTCGTAGTCGAGATGGAGCAGCCGCTGGAGCCCCGAAGTCCATCGTCAGCGAACTTGCCACCGTTCTAGGCGATGTTGAGGCTGGCATATTAGGCGTGGCCAGCCGTCTCGGTGGAGTTACCGAGCAAGTGCAAGAGGTGGTTCTGGGCCCGCCCTCTGTTTCATGAATGTCTGGAAGTCTGTGCATTGACATCACACATAGTCTTCATGTAGATTACGGATGGATTTAGATTTGATTAAGCATACCTAATCTCGCTACAAGATGCGAAACTTTACAACTTCGGCTCCTTACCAGGTTATCTGATCCGGCTATCCGCTAGTGACAATGACACCTCGACTACCCTGCCTATGACCGCGCAGAAAGGCGTCGCTAAACTGGATATAAGGCACCTGGATCATGACCACTGAGGATACTATCATAGGCTCGATAGAAAGCTAGTTCAAATCGCATACTTAAGGCTCCAATGAGTCATATTTAATAGTATTACTGTAGCATGGCATGCTTAATGTAAGATCCGAAGAATGAGTTATTTGTACGGAGTGCGTCAATCGGCATCACAGTGACTCATGTCTCAACACTTCGTACTTTGTAGTTACCATGACTGATTATTGATGCGGCTCGCCAGGGGTGGTCTTGGAGAAGGCGGTGAGGGTGAAGAATGCCAAGCTGCCCGCCGCAAGACGCAAAAGGACGGCAGACTGGCGTGATCGCACCTAATCCTTCGGCTAACGTCACACCCCATGCTCCCCCCGATTTCCAGCTTGACCTTCCCCCCAAGGAGGTGACCCTTGAGGCAGGGGAGTCCGTTTATTCCCGCTTAGAATTTCTTCTTCTTCTTCTGCTGAGATCTTCTAGGCCTACGATAAAGTATTTGTTATGGCCACCCTTAGAATGTGGTCCATAAGACAGCCTGGCATACTCCATCATACCATCTCAACATGATCTTCCTGTGGGGTGTTTCCCCATACTCACTCTCGCACCCCGAATACGGTATATTGATCCGGTTCCATCTAGTGGCATTCTAGAACCCAACATACGTATGTGATTCGCGACAGATCAACTTAGCTCAAGGAAGCGGTGTGACGCCTCCGGGTCTTCCCAGATAAGCGGGAGATCTGTTCCGACGCGAAGCGTCACAGAATGTCTCCACAACTGTTGCCTTCGAATGACGCGATCTTCGCTGACACCATCCTCGGACCCGCTATTGTTTTGGGGGGGAGGCTCCTCCGAAACGCCGTTCTGTGTCCCATGGATACATAGTTGCTTGATCAGCCGCTTGGGTGATATTCTCCAGCGATGGTGCAATTCCCGCCTGTCCCGAATTTGGGGCAATGCCTGATTGTGTCCGGTCATCTCTCCCCTTGATAATGGAGTGGAGGATGTGGCCTCTTCGTCCTCTATGTGTGCATTTATTTCTATATAACCCCAAAATCTCATCTTGCATCGAGTACCAGTCTCTTTGTCAAACAAGTCCCCATACAAACACTTCCTCTTAGTATCGTTGCCACCAGCACATTTGTACATCACGGTCATCTCTGCCGCATAAACCATGGCGCCATCACTCGTGGACCCCGTGGTAACCCACCCAGTCGGCCGCCTTCCCGTAATTAAGAAGGAAGTCACAGATGACAACAAGTTTGGTTATCAGCCAGGCCGAACTGTCGTGGAAAAGCATGACAACTACCAGTACCAAGACCTTCTCCCTACTTTTCCTGATCTTCATTGGCCTCCGTTAGAGGAAACGCCATATGAGGATAGGGGTATCTACGGAGACGCCAAGTTCCGGAATCTACTCCAAGACGCAACAGACGTCTTCGACTACACCCCCAAGATCGGAACTGAGGTTCATGGAGTGAATCTGGCGAAGCTGAATGACGCACAGAAGGATGACTTGGCTCGTTTGGTAGCTGTTCGTGGTGTGGTTTTCTTCCGAGGACAGGATGACTTGGATATCGATGCCCAGCGTGACCTCGGTAGACATTTCGGGAAGCTGCACAAGGTATGAATGGTCTATATATATACAATGTGCATTATTGCTAATACCATTGCCTTCCAGCACGCGACCACGTCTGTCCCGAGAAGAGAGGGTTTGGAAGACGTTCACGTCGTCTACACTGGAGACAACTCCACTGACCAGCGAGCAATGTTCACACCCAGCTTCCTTTGGCACTCAGATGTATGGGCTACCCTTCCTTGTGATACCGAATATGTGACTGATGAGATATATTAGGTTACATATGAAGTCCAGCCTCCCTCATACACATCGCTCAAGGTCTTGACCGGCCCGCCACGGGGAGGTGGTGGTGATACGCTCTGGACATCTCAATACGCTGCATATGATGCGCTATCGCCTCATATGCAAACATACCTCAAGGGCCTGACTGCTCTACACTCGGCGGATATGCAGGCCTCGGACTCGCATGCTCTTGGTCGACCTGTCCGTAGAGATCCGGTTACCACAGAACATCCTCTCATCCGGACAAACCCTGTCACTGGCTGGAACAGTCTGTTTTTCAATCCTGGCTTCGTCACAAAGATTGTGGGAATCCCGAAGACCGAAAGCGATGCTATCATCAGATACCTCACAGAAGTTATTGCGACAACTCAAGAGATGCACGCGCGGTTCCAGTGGAACAAGAATGATGTCGCGATTTGGGACAATAGAACCACTGTGAGTATCATGTCCTTCGCAGTACACTTAAGCTTTAAGCTAATTGTTGATAGAACCACTCTGCTTCTTATGGATTCGCTCCTCACCGTCGCCATGCTGTGCGCGTCTGCTGCCACGCAGAGCGCCCCGTCTTGGATCCGGCAGGAAAATCGCAAGAAGAGGAATTCATCGCTCTTTACAACCTGCCGCCTGTTAACAAGGATGGTTCTCGGCAGTCTAATTACAATGACTGATCTACCAAGACTTTGGCAAATTATTTGAATGTTCTGGGTGCTTAGCGTGATTCGAAGGTTTTGCGGGAATATGAGAGCTGGCTCTCAGTACTTCGGGCTGATAATTTAATAACTAGCGATACATTACGGAGTTTTAGAAATTAGGCGTACATAATTTCGGGCTAATACTAGTCAAGTCTTCCCACCCTGATTTAATCTAGAAGCGTCTACATAAGCCACGTGCTTCTCTTTGTCACATCATTAGTACCAAATTACTTCTGGCAAGGCCTTCACAAGTTTGTCGCGAACAATACGACCAGTATATACATATAGATGGCAAACACAAGCGACGTGTCTTTACTCCAGTATGCCCGCTTCCATGGCATAGCTACTGACTACACAGATCTTGACCCTCTTCAGCATATCGACGATATTTGCGATATCCCTCCCGATTATCTTCACCCACCACACGGGACTTCATCGGTTATTGAGCAAATTATCGCATCCAGCCAGCAAGTTATCGAGCAGACCCTACATCTTGAAAAGCTAGATATTAGAAGAGAAAGCGTTCAGTTCCTATCGTCAGTGCTTCGCGACATTAAACGAGATAATATCGATGACTGCTGGGATGAAGTCCTTCCTTCGTGGGATCAATATGATGATCTGAAGTTAGAACCACCTCTCTTCAGCTCTGACAATGATTCAAATCTGGTACTCCCAGTTGAGCCGCTTCGATACTCTCGAGAAGATAATCTTTTCTGTTCACTTGAGGGACTTGCTAGCGACTACGATAGCAATATCTTGAGCCCTTTGATACATGAGGCAGATATAATTGAGAAAAGAGTTGGCAATGAGAAGCTGGATTGTTCTAAGGACGCATTGCTTCTTATTCAAGGTGCACGGCAGGCTGGGAATCGTCCTCTGGACTTGGATGACTTGCTGTGTCCCCTTGAAGACGTGGCTGAGGTATGTTTCTGGGGTCATCTCGCGCTTCTCTCATTCTTCTCGCTGAAGTTGAAGACAGGAAGATCGGTTCCATCTTCAGTCCCCGCCCCTTTTGCCTCTAGATGACGACTGCTTTTCTTGCGATAGCCCGCCACTGAGCTCAAGTGACCACCTCCTATTGAGTCCCGTTCGCCATGATTCAGCTGAGGTACCAACCGACATCGATACCGTGCACTTTGAAGGCTGCTCTAGAACCGAAACTGTCCCAGGGAGTACGACTTCAATACTAGAGAGTTTTATCGAGAACCAGGTCTTCAAGGGAACAGACAGGCAACTGTCGCATGATCTACCTCTAAGTCGGCCGTCCCCCAACGAGCGAGGTCCACCTGATGGAATGTCCCCTGCGGATGTAGACATGATTAATGAAAAGGGATTCACATCCGATTATGAGCAAGTCATCGTGGCTGTGACAATACCCAGGAGCCCGAGCAGCATTACTTCGCGAGTGACCTACACTGAGATTACGGATAACATTGCAACATCTGACTGTTTTCCGTACAATAACTTTATCGTCAAGGATACTCCCTCTCGAACAAGCTACTCCCCAATTCCATCCGCATATAGCTCGTCTCATCAGGAAGCATACATACAGGATTTTCCAGACTGTCCAGCAGAGTCAATATCTGAGACTTCGGTACCAGATTTATACCTAATCACCCCAACGATAGAAGATGATCACTCAGTGGCCTCCTGTCTCCCTGAAGCTCTACCCCAGCTTTATGACAATATTAGCCCAGGCAATCCATCACTGGTGCGGAAACGAAAGTTGGATAACACTCTAGAGAATAACAACAAGACTGACAGTGCGAATCTTAACGCCATGCCGCCCATTGTGAAGGGAAAAGCACCTTCAAGACAACACCTGACCACGAGCCTTGGCTCCCTATCGCGGTTTATGGAAACCAGAGGGCAGGCTTCCATACAAGAAGTAGCCACCCAGAGCCATTATTTCGTTAAGAATATGCCCACAGAAATGCCTGGAAAGGAGCACGGTATATCGCAGCGTGCGAAGACGTCCGATAACCACTCAACTGACACCCCAGCTCGCAGACAATCTGAGATTATCTCCTTCAATCAGTCAGCCATCCCCTGTTGTCTGCCTCAGAAAAACGGACCCATAATACTCTCCATGTCAACATCACTTCTCAAAAGCCACCTACGCATAGTCCAGTGCATTGAAAGTATGAATCCTGCCACAACCATCGTCTACAGGGAGTCTGGTGCAGAAAGGTGGAAATTGGCATCTAGAAGTCATATTCAATCCAGAAACACCGGTCCATCAAATTGCGACGACGAAGCTGATATAATAATTCCGCCTAACACTGGTATAGTCTTGACAACTTCCCAAGCAACAACGCAGCTATTTCTCCCAGGTCACAGGTCATCAATAATGAAAGACATCCCAAGCGTCAACTCTCCTCTACGAGAACGCGTATTCCGTCTTGCGAGAAAGTACGAAAATATATATGTTCTTATTTCTCATTGCAGTGGCACAACATCAAACTTTCCAAAAAATGGGTTCACCATCGATAAGATCATGCTTTCATCTCTAATCGCCTTTACTGCTTTTTGTAGCTCTATGTCTAATCTGAATATCTACCCTGTTGTGCTGCCCTCTTCCCCTGATACCATTGCAGGCTGGATCCTTGCGCTTGCTGGTAAATCCGTGAATTCACAGGATTGATTCCTTTTGAGGTGTACTTTGTTTTCTTTATCTATTATCATTATGATTTTATCTTTCCTCGTCGCTTAATCTTTCCCCTTTCTCTCTTCTCTTTGTAGAATAGTAGCCAGTGCACAATTTCATCTGAGCTGTAGCCAGGAGGTCCCGGCTTTTGATTGTCCTGTGAATATTATCGATTTCACCGGAACAAAGAAAAGTAGAAGGAAAAGAAAAGAAAAAAGAGTCTCCAGCGTCTGAAAATAGATAATCGCTGTTACCTAGTTCTTATTCACCTGCAGTTGTCTCTAGTCTACCACTGTTGCCTACTATTGGCCGACCACGCACTTCATCACATCTCTTTGGTATGGCTGTCAAGCAATTAAATCCGATGAGATAGGAGTGGTTGAAAAGTGCAAATCAAGAGCATTCTAACAAAAGTAGTAGCTGTTTGAGTTACTATTATCCTGAGAGTAAGTATGTAATAAACAACGATGTATCATGTGGTACTGCACTGGTTCTGGACTGCATAGAGAATATATATCTTGAATACTACGGATGGGCAAAGCTAGATTCAGTTAGTAATCTTTTTATATATAGCGTTGTGCTCGTAGGAGAATAAGTTATTATATTGACGGAATGCCATTATGATCATGGTGAGGTTGTCAATGGCTGTTCCAGCTCAGTATCACGATATATTCTATTTGCCACGATGAAGGTATTACTAGTATATTGGTGGTCACAACCGGCCGGCTTGATGACTTCTTGACAATCGCCATAATCCCGCATTCTCCTCCTTCTCGCAACGTGTAAGAGTATCTAGTATGGCTATATGATCGTACTGTCAAAGAAAGAGCCCAGCCCAGGACGTTCTGTGGAGCTGCGTCTCTGGCTAGGAAGTTGCATGCCGACGTCCGTTCTTCTCATTGTACCTCGTGTCTCTAGGAGAGCATTATCTGGGCCAGCCTCAGCTTGGAAACGCTCTAGCATTATACTGTCGTGAGGGAGCTGCGTTCTTCCCGTTGAAGGACGTGAAGGACCCACAAGACGGGTTCGATGTTGTGGTGTTGCGGCAGGCCGATTGTCTATACAGTGTCAGTACGTGCAACGTAAGCTTGTAGTCCAGATGCATACGTTTGCTCCGAATGTCTGTCGGACGACTAGGCGGTGGCATTGCAGCGACATCAGTCTTCTCTCTGCGACCTTTTGAACTTCCAGTTCCGCTCCGTTGATGACGATGCAGTTGTTCCACGCCTTCCTGGTTGACGGGATATACGTTGGATTGCCTAGACAATGGGGTTTGTGGCGGTCTCGATGTCTCTGTGTGTCTGGGTACAAGCTCAGATAGATTTTTTCGAGAGGCTGTTAGCGAATCCAGCGCTTGAGACACAGTATCTGTTGCAGCGGTCTGCATTTGGGATCGCATCGCTCGGGATTTGAGTATGTTGTATAAGTTTGTCATTTGTGTGAATTTCTTGCACTTCTCTCGATACATGTCGACTAGCTCCTGATTCTTCTTACGAAGTTGGTCCTGTGCTGTCTGCATATCTGCTTAGTTGTCAGATGGTTTCATTGAGTACTGCCGTGTTGGAGACAGGCTGACCTGATATTCTCGCTTGTAGGGCCGATATTTCCGAGTTCGCGTTGTGTATGACCTTGTCCATTTGTGTATTCAGATTGGTGTACTTATCTGTCAGTGTCTTTGCAAGGTACTCCTGGTAGAAGCTGTAGATTCTTAGTGGACATCCAGGTCATTCACGATATCAATTAACGCACATTTCCTGTGTAGTCTGGTATGTCCAAAAGAGCAACGCCCGTCCCGCGCACTCCATAATTGTATTCGGATCAAGTCCGCTTAGAACACTGGTCTTGTAGTCTTCCGTTGGGTTGAGGGCCGTTGCTACCGCGTCGTCGGGGTTCACGAGGACAGTCTGACAGGCTGGACAGATTCGCTCATTGGCTGTGGGATGCGATAGACCAAGGCTTCCTGCGCAGTGGAGACAGAAGATGTGTCTCGGTTGCTCAGCGTTTTTTCTTGTGTTTAACAAACGTAGAAGGGAAAGTCGAGATGCAGCAAATGAAGGTACTTACGAACAGGTGGTGACGACTGCCCTCTCCTTCAGTTGTTCTCGACATTTCAGAGAGTTGCAGCGAAGGTAGAAATCCATGTTCGATATCAATTACCTTCGGTGAAGAAAATCAGCAGAGTTGGTCAGATAGATGTTCAAGGGTGGATGGATGTTGAGCTAAGATGCATTACATATAGAACCAAGGCTCAATATGGAAATTGCCGCGGTATCACCCCGGTCGCTTCGATACAGATTACTAGATCAGGCAGACAGTACAACTTAGCTACTGTGATATACGAGCAAGCTATGGTTTTATTGGGTATCTCAGGAATATACAACATCTATGGTCTCAACGCTCTTATTTATATCAGCCACGCCATAACCTTCAAGCCAAATGTGCATCAGAAAAAGAACGTATTTCCAGAAGCATCACGCCTTGTCGTCCGCATCTTCTCCTCAAACTCAGGCCCTGGTTCATATTCTCGCCAGAGACTGGCCGGAAAGATGTGTTTGTTCCGCTCATACCACCGTCTATCTACCACCTTGGTTAAAGATGGATCTTGATCAGCGCCCTCTAGTTGGCTGCTTTCCGGGCGCGATAAAGGATCGTCTGTCGAAGGTGCCGGGGGTGGTTTGTTGGAATAATCGAACAACAGACCACCCGCTTTGGTGAAGTCGGGTACACTGTTGGCGATGAAATAATAGAGTTCGTAATGCTGTGCCAGTCAGCGTATGCAACCATATGAAACATTTGGGATACATACATGTGGAACGATGATTTCTCCTTTGACCAACATGAGGTCATCAACACTAACTCGAGCCCATTCGCGACGATTATCTTTGCGAGCCTTGGATGCTCCGCTGTTACCACCAACACCCAATTCTGCTCCAACCTTTCGGCATCGGTCCAAGAACAACCAAACAGGGTCACCTTTCTTGACCCTGACAGTTCCCGCTGGGATGTTGGTCCCATCGAAGAATATAAAGGGGATCAATATCTCGGTATTCTTCACAGCTTCCTGCATGGCAAGGAATTCCTTGCGGAGCGCATCCCGTGCCTCTGCCTCTGCCTTCAAGGCGGCTTTCGTCATTGCTTTGGGAGGAGGCGGGGCATTTGGGTTTGGTGTTATGCGGCGTGATGACGGCGCAGAGCTATCGTCAACAGGAGTTCTGGAAGCAGAACGCGGGACACTCGAGTCCCGCGGCGTTGCGACTGCATCGGCGGTGCTATCGTTCTCTTCCTCCTCATCGCCATCGCCGAATGAAAGCTTGCTCTTGGCGATAGGCTTCTTTTTCTTCTTCTTCGGCGGGCCCTCGCTTCGTGGCGTCGAGTTGCTATATACGCTTTGCGATCAGTTACAAGCCGGGATATTCTGAAGATGCGATTTGACTCACCCGTCAGTCACTTCACCGGTAGATGGAGTTGCACTTCTGGAGGTGAATCTCCCTAGGGATTTGTCATGAGCTTCGCGTTCTTTTTGCTCTAAGACCTCGGCGCGACGTTTGCGAAAGTCGGAAAGATGGACGAGACCAACTGTCTGCGACTTGAGCAGATCTTCTGCTGACGCAGTCTGGCTGGTAAACGAGCGTGGAGTCGAGCTATGGCTCGGCTGTTCGGATTGTGACATTTTAAGAACGAATATGCGGTGAGAGTATCGAGGAATAGACGTTGAAATTGGCGATAAATCTCACATGAATGCGACTGACGTACTGGCACGTGATGTCCAAGACTGCCGGATCGGGAACAACCACAACTTGCCTGCGCCTTGAGAAAAGAAGTACTGTCGTCAATTGTTGTTTTTTGTGCTACATTCTTGCTCTACTTCTTTTAGCAGAAGGGGCTCTGCGAGTTAAGAAGCTGAAAATTCTAGATTCGCGACTTCAGTATCCCAGCCAACCAGCAGCACAAGAACAAACAAATCAAAGCCGACGACCTGCGAATCTCCGCAGGATCGCCGCCGACAGAAACGCATCCCGTCACATCTCCTACCTCTCTACATTTACTCGGTCGCAGATTCCAAACATGATGATGGAAGACGAAGACGATGATTTCTACGATCCCGCCGATGCGGTGCCTGTAACTCAGCATCAAAATGGATCTCAGCATCCCCCCGCAGATTCAGGACCGCAGGACTCCAATGATGCGGAAGAGGAGGAGATAGAGGTAGAAGAAGATGAGGTATGCGCATGGACAGATAAATGATCCTATTACTGTCTCTTACTCTCACCTAGGATGACTTCAATATCATCACCGAAGCACCTGCAGATGCGCCCCCTCCAGAAGTGTAAGTCCACTACCTCTGTTCAACACACTGCACCTTGTTAACCATTGAACAGCCCACATCCTCGTCACGCCAGTCTCCGCGCGGAGTCTCAAAGACCTTCTTCTTCTGCAGATGTTTCTACGATATCAAAATCAATAACGCCCACCGTTACCCCTAAGCTTGAATCCGTTACCCCTGTGCCTGCTGCTGCAAGGCCTGCGGTCCCTCAGAAACCCGGTTCCGCCTACCCTCCAGTCCATGCGTCGAACATCGATGTCCACGCGAACCCTGTCCATCCGGCGACCGGTAAACCGATCATGTTAACAGACATGGACACCGACTTCCCAGAGGACGACAAGCCTTGGAGGCGGCCAGGCTCCGACATTACAGATTATTTCAATTACGGGTTTGACGAGTTCACGTGGGCCAGTTATGTGTTGAAGCAACAGGAGCTACGCAAGGAAATTGGAGATCAGAAGAAACAATTGGATGATATGCAGGCTTTCTTAAGCATGGGGCTTCCGCCGATGCCCGGCGGTCCTCCGGGACCTGGAGGGCCTCCAGGAAGCGCACCACCTCCTATGCCCGGCATGCCTGGAATGCCGGATATGTCACAAGAGATGATGCAAGGCATGCTGACGAGCATGATGTCGCAAGGTCTGGACCCCTCATCCATGGATCCTATGGCATTTATGCAGCATGCGCAGGCCATGATGGGTGGGCAACCCGGCGCAGGCGGCGGACAACAAGGTCAACCCGGATTTGGTGGGCAAGGTGGTGGCCAGCCTCAGATGGGATACGGAGGCGGCTTTGGTCGGGGTCGCGGGAGAAGATGGTAAAGCTAGGGATATCTGAAGCTGCGACCTTGTTATAATGACGAATACCTTGTCGAAAGCTCAGCATTGGCGATTCGAGCAGAGTACTAGAAAAGTAGTAAACTTATTCATAAATGAATTACTCCTGAAGGCTAAGCTTCTTGTGCGGATCTGGGGTCGGGTTGCTCGGGGAAAGGGAGCTACTAATCGAGTGCAGTGTACTGTTGCTCATCATCAGACGCCAGGACCGAGTACACTCGATCATGTAAAAGAATCAATATTCATCTGTAATAGTCAAGCGAGTTAAGCACATTGGAAAAGAGCACGCTGTGATCAGAATGAAAGGGAAGAAGAGCGAAGAAGTGGTGATACCCTCGGCAGAGAGGATGGAAGCTGTCGGTCTTGGCATTCTGGAAATTTCTCGCGAGTCCAGATCAGATCTTCTTTCCCCGGCCGCTTCCTCTTCTTCTTTTGCTCTCCACGTCCCCAACTTGCTTCCATTTCCTCTCGCTCCTGCTTGAATTTACGCTGTACCTCGTGCCCGGCACTTCTATACACACTCTTATCACAATGGTATGTTATTGCAATTGATACCGGATGCTGTAGAGCTCCGAATGAACTTTTTCACCCATCAACGTTCATCCCCTTCCGACGGGATTGCCATCTCTAATCGCCAATCAACCTATCTCTGACCATTACTAATGTATTGATTGCTTGATTAGTCTTTCCTCCGCAACGTCAAGAGCCTTGCTCCCCTCCTCGACCGCGTCCTGGTCCAGCGTGTCAAGCCCGAGGCCAAGACCGCCTCCGGTATCTTCCTCCCCGAGAGCAGCGTCAAGGAGCAGAACGAGGCCAAGGTCCTCGCTGTTGGCCCCGGTGTCTTCGACAAGAACGGCCAGCGCCTCCCCATGAGCGTTGCTCCCGGTGACCGTGTCCTGATCCCTCAGGTATGTCGACCGCCCGATCCGTGGCCATCCGATGCGAGAAGCGAAGCATTAGTCCATCGCGCAGATTGATGTGCTATTGATGAACACAACATACTAACGAGTCTGTGATATAGTTCGGTGGCAGCGCCGTCAAGGTCGGTGAGGACGAGTACACTCTTTTCCGCGACCATGAGTATGCACACCCTTGACACTACTTTGCTTGGATGAACCTGTATACTAACATATGCTACCAGGATCCTTGCCAAGATCCAAGAGTAAATTGGACGAGTGAAATGATATTCAGCTCCGTTGTCTTTCTGTTCACGGGTTAAGGCCGAATCACTTGTACTATACCTCCTACGCAAAATCATGAGCTTCAACCATCCAACTCCGGGAAAAACTCATAATCAAAAAAAAGAACCACCGAAGAGGTATCAGGAGGGATCTGTCGTCCCTCCTAATCATCTTGGGCTAACGTCTTGTCTGGCATTTATTATCGAAAGCGTGAAATGACTGTTTACATACCACACGATGTACTTTTAAATATAGCAATCATCCTGTCCTACATTGTCTGGCGCGATGAGGGCAAGTAATCAGATATGATAATCTCCTCTCTGCTAATTTTTTCATATTGAGTACGACAAACTTCTGGGGTAGAATCATCTGCACGTTACCGTTCCGTCCAACAAGACCGATAATGTGGCAAGAATAGACCTTCCAGTATCGTCAAGTCGAAGGGCAGCCGTTAGACCACCTTTATTTCTTCGTAAACTAAATGTTCAGTCTATCTTTATCTCAAAATAGGCGGTGATCCAAACTCATGGCCAGCTGAATAGGCATATCAGACTGTATCGACCCGTTGTCTAGAACCCCCATGAGAAGACACGCGTAGGTAATTCCGAGGATATACTATCGTTCTGCATCTGAATCATTCTGCATCGGTAACTAATAGTCAGCAAGTGGATGACATATGGGTGAGCCAGATGTGGTAAAGACAGACAGAATAACCATCATTATCACCATCATCAATGCCTTTATCAGCGATAGCACCAGAATGTAGACAAGAAAAATGTGTCAGACACGGAACCCTGCATTGTTCTACCAGGTCAACGATCGAGTATGAGACAGGCTCAACGCCGATCAAATCGGGGGTGGTGGAGATCAGTCAGCAAAGATGCTGAATAGTTAACTAACTAGTAGGTATGGTATGATACTGTGTACCACACTAACTAATAACTTGAACTGCTCGCTCGAGCTTGATGTATTGTTGAGGGTCCAATCACTTTCTTGGTTCTGATTATGAATGAGTTGGTTCTATGTCACTCAGCGCAAGCGCTATAGGAATTAACGTTCGAAGATTGTATAAATGACTTCGTTCAGACTCATGTAGTACCTAAGTATTATGCATGACTCGTACGGATTCTGCTCATAGGTAAGTAAGGTAGTAGTTGCTCCATATATATATCTCTTCTATCACTTGAAGAATTAGCTACTCATCGTGCCTTTTCAAGAGAGTTTGTCACCTCGTGGGATTCAATACTCTGGCTTGGTGATGTGCCGATAGTATATAAAATGACAAGCAAAGTGCGGATTTATATACTACCCGCGTACACTCCGACCAACCAAAAGCGACAATACAATAGTAGACGCGAAGCATCGCGCAGCACTTCCAACGGCCATGAACATCATGCATCAACTTGTTCTTCAGAAATAGGCTAAAGTATAGTACGCCTCTAAAACAACATCCCCGATCCTACATCACGAACAAGAGTTGAATTTATATACCACCATCAGTTAGCTACTACTACCTCGGTAGCAAAGAAGTAAGTAGTAAACAACCCAACCCAACCACCCACTCAAAACAGCACACACAAACCTAACAGAAAAAAGAAAAGAAGAAACTGATGAGATCCAATCTAATCAACAAGCCAACTACGTACAAATTAATAATAAAAACCTATCCTCGGCCCCTCAAGGCCCCCAAAGTCCCCAAAAGGAAGTAAAATTCTCCATCACGCAAAGGCAAGGCCCGTCCCGTTCTAATCGATGCTATCTCATAGGCTGTAAGCTTATCCGTCCACCACCAGCACCTACCCATCCATCATACTAAGTACTACTACTAAACATTCGTTCCATCCATCCGCGTCCCGTCTCGGACGTACGGAAGCCACACACACAACCACACAACCACCCCCCCCCTCCCCTGGCTAAGGAAAATCCTTTTCCAATTATAGTATTGGCCACGCGAGAAATCAAGCTCATCTTATCTTATTCTTTTTTTCTTTTCTTACCCTTGCAGCCCTGTGGATCGGGGGGTTTTAGGCTTTCCGTGTGAGAGAGATTAGGTGTGGCACCGGGTTTGTAGTTTATTTGGACTTCAACTTCCTTTTGTTACGGATGATTACTTGTATGTATGTATGTATGTTATGTATTGTGTATTTATTATACTTACTTACATACATACATATTTACTTACATGTGTAGTTGTAGACTTGATTCCTTGGTTGGGACCTGCGTGTGCATGAGGTGGACGTGGTGCTGTCCTGTCTTGTGTATGCGTGTGTGCCTTATTTGCTGTGCTGGTTGGTTTTAGGGTAGCTTTGTTATTGGTGTTGTTGTGCGGTTGTGATGTGTCATATTGTATATATGCAGTCCACGTGTGAGGTAGGTGGGTAGGGTGGTAGGGTAATTTAATTCCCATATACTATGTGCCTATACTGTGGATAATTGAGGGAGGGTTGTGCGTTCTGGGGCTGAAGAATACGGACGCATGATAATTACGAGCGTATCAATGCCTTATTACATGCATACGATCATATGTCAATTGTGTGATACATGCTACATGGCTCCAGTGACAGTCATAGATCATATCGTTCTATTAACGACTATCTTAAGTCTAAACAGCATCAACTCCAGAACGAGTATCCCCTCTTCCACTTGCCCTGCAGTGTAAAGCTGGGCAAACCGTTTGTACCGTCAATAAAAAAAAAGAAACAAGTTAACAAGATAGCGTAAACAACCATATCATGCCATGCATTGAGAAGAAATGAAAAGGTTTCTCATAGGAAATTAAATTAATTAGAATTCAGTGAAACGTGCCCTGTATCTTCTTTTTTTTACGCGGAACCGAACTCCTTGATGTCGGTCTTCTTGCCGAGGAGGGCAAGGGGCACAATACCACTGACGTGCATCTCAGGGCCGTAGACGTGCATGTTGAGGCCAAGCTCCTCACCAACAGCCTTGATGTTCTTAAGACCCTCCTGGTAGTTGGGACCAGCACGACGAACCCAGATCTGGACCTTGTGCTCGTTCAGGACGGGGGCAACCTCACGCAGAGCGCGGATGACACCCTTGAAGGTGGAGGCAACGTTGGTGAAGTTGGCAATACCACCACCGATGAAGAGGACCTTGCCGTCGGGGTGGATAGGAGAGCGCAGCATCAGGTCGAGGATGGTACGGGCGTAGTTGAAGGTCTGGGTCTCGGTGGGAGCACCGGAGTACTCACCGTAGTTGGCGAGCTCGCTGACGAAGCCAGCAGAGGCAATGGCATCAGCGTACACGACGGAGGCACCACCACCAGCAACCAGGGTCCAGACACGGCCGTTGGCGTTGAGGACGGTAAGCTTGAGGGAAGCACCGGTCTTAGCATCCATCTCGGAGATAAACTTCTCCTCCTTGCTCAGCTCACGACCGAAAGGAGCGGGGAACTCCATCGGGGGACCAGCGTCAATGTTGACCTTGTCGCTGGAGGGAAGGGTGGGCAGACCCAGGTTGGCGGGGCTACGAGCAATGGCCCACTTGGTACCGCACTCGAACTCAGCAGTCTGGTCGAGCTTGGCAGCCAGATCGAGGAAGTGAACATCAGCCGAGGTGGCATCAGCGTTGGGGATGACAACCAGAGGGTTGATCTCGAGGTAGGTGAACTGGCAGTCAACGTAGACGGCGTAGAGGCGGGAGATGAAGTCAACGAGGACGTTGTGGACACCCTTGGGCACCTTGCTCAGGAGAGCAGCAGCGATCTCCTCGTTGGAGGGGTACTTCTCCAGGTTGACGGGGATGAGAAGCTTCTCAGCCTTGGCGTCGACATCACCAACGTCGACACCACCCTCGTGGGTGAAAAGGATCCAGTCACCCTAACATGGTGCATTAGCATTGCTACCCCGCAGCGACGGAGGGCGCCGATCAAACGGCGGAGGGAAAAAAAAAAAAAAACAAACTTACCTCACGCACGGAGTGGATGTTGATGTAGTACTCAGTCTCCTGGGGGTGAGGAACGAAAGGCTCAACGAGGAACTGACGGAGAACACCGGTGACTGTCTCAACCTGAACGTCCTTGGCAGCACGGGCCTCAATCCATTCCCTGGCCTCGGCCCAGGTCTTGTTCAGGGCCAGAAGGCCACTCTTTCCACGTCTCTTGATCAATTGGTCGGGCTTGGCCACGAACTTGGAACCGGGAGTCAACAGCCAGGGGTAGCGGACCTCAGCCTGGTCGAGGACATCCTTGACGGCAATATCTTCGGGGAAGTAAAGGGAGGCGAGCTTAGGAGGAGGGTTGTGCGTGGAGGACGGAGGGAGGGGAGTAGGCTTGATAACGGGAGCACGAGTGAGGTGGTAGTTGAGGATGGCCTTGCCATCAGCTTCGAGGATCGACTTGGCGGACATGATGATTGTATAGTTGAAAGAGGAGAGGTATAATTATACTAGATAGACATGTAAGAAGCTGCAGAGCAATGGTTTGTGGAGGTGGGAAGGTGAATCCCGGAATGGATGAGAGGTATACCTAGAGGAAGATGTATGTAGAGGGAGATAGAGAGAAAGAGGGAGAAGGAGAAAGGAATTGGAGTCTTGATTTTTTGGAAGGTCTGGAAGAAATCACCAACCAAAAGGAGGGAGCAAGAATAAAATGGAGTGGAAGTAGAGAGTAAGAGGGGGAGAATGGAGGAGGGGAGGACGAGGAGGAAAAGAAGAAACAAAGCGGGAAGGAAAAAAAAGAACCTAAACGGAGTATTGCAAGAGAAGCGCGCCGATTAGTCGGTGATGATAAGTGACGGCCGGCGAAAGGAGGGTTACTAGGAAGGAAAGAGGGAGGGGGGGAGGGGGGAGGGGAGGAGAAGTTTCGACGAAGCGAATTTTTTGGGGTCCGAAGATGGAGTGAGGATTGGGATGGAATGATCAACTGAAGCCACAGTAAAAACCAAAAACCACCCAAAACCGCCTTGATACAGATGATACAGAGTACGATCAGGGCCGAGCTCGGGCAATACAAGGGGCTTAGCGGGTTGCGATGCTGCAGCCAGCGGACTTTGTTGAGATTCGGTGGAGCCGCCGTAAGAAAAAGCGGGTCGGCCCAAGACCCATCCTGTCAGCCGGGATTGGCGGCGTTGGGGATCCTCGGAAGCCATTCTCGTGAGTATTTGACTCGCAGTATCTGCCCTACGCTGTAGCCTCAATACTGAAGCCCCCCCTACCATCACCAGAATGGCTTGTTCTACTCTTGCGTCTTTTTTTGTTGGGTACTTTGCTTGACGCTCTTCGTTTTGTTGACGACACCACCATCATCACCCCCCTGTCCCGAATGGCTGAATGGCTCGTAACCAGGATTTTTTACAACCTCCAATAATGCAATGATAGTGGCAGATGTGTTAGCTGGACAACCTAAACATGTCTGATCACATTGAAACTAGATAACGTGTCCTGCTCGATGATGTAATGGGGTTTGTGGTTTTCTTACTTCCCCGGCTCACATTTCCCCATACTTTACTTTACTTTACGGGAATGACCACGATTCTTCCCACCAAATAACTAGTAATTTGTTCTGGATAGTTCTGAATTCAGGTACCCCTGCTTGCTATCTACGACTGTAGTAGTGGTAGTATTATAACTGTCATGTATGTAGTAGAGGGGATGGTAACATGGCAGCACTACTCTGTCTAGTATCTACATACAATATGTTGGAAGCCTAAACCTAAGGTACATACCACAGATTGATGGGAAGGGCGATCTACCTACTTGGGTAGGTGCCCGTATGATTCCAGAAGCATACTTTTCATACTTTCCAAGTAATATTATCCGTAGTATACCGCCGTTTGATCTTTCGGTGAGCGGCCAGCGAAATGGAAAGAAAAACCTCCTTTGAATTCACGGGGCCTCGTGCATACGCATCGGCCCAGTCCCTGGCCGCAATTGGGACCTCCAGTTTGCTGATCCAGCAGACGGATGTAGGATCCACCCGCTTTAGCCCCAACCAGACCACCAGAACCACCTCCCGGTTCGATGTGTACGCAGTATCAATCAGAATGCCCTTGCCCCCGTAATACGGAGAACCGTGGTCTCGGTGTTGCTCAGACGGTCTATTTCGGTTTTTAACATATACTAAACTGATTCAAGACATTTTGCATGCTCCGATTCTTGCCTACAACTCTCCTCTTTGGCAGCCAACGGAGTCCTCCGATTAGTTAGCCGAACAGGTGACAGTAGTCACCAAGTTTGTTGTAAACAACTATGGAGTACTAGGTCCTTCCGACTCCTCTCCTAGTAGATACGGTAGTAGTATAGTGATCGGTCAATCAATCCCCCACGGAGTTTGTTGGGCGTTGGAATCTTTCACTAATCGCTTGATTCACCCGTCTTGTGAGCATAGTACTACTATACTCCGGACTCCGGACTCCGTAAGGATCAGTCTTTCACTCTCCATCTCCATCTCCAATCTCAAAACTATAGACGAGAATCGGCTTCTGACTGCGCAATGTCATTTCGGGTTGCTCGCCACTAGTCCGGTCGAGTGAAACGCCCCCCCATAGCTGCTACTATTCTAGCGAAGTTGACCCATCTGTGATCCATCCTTTGTCGAGCTTTCCCCAACTGGGTTGTTTCGGACCAAGAGTTGCCTGCGCCAGGATCATTGATACTGTACGGTACGATCGATACGAACCCCATTCATACGCCCATACCAACTCTGTACTATGTACCTGCTCTTTCCTCACTTGGCCCCATAATTTTTCTACCCCCCCATCAAGCTTCCCGATATCGTCCCCTCCTTTAGCTACTTTTTTTTTTGTCCGTTCCATTTTCTTTTTATCTTACATCTTGTTTTTCTCTCATCTCCCGTCTTTTTCCCATCAGTCCACTTCCTTTCTCCTCCTCTTCCTCCTCCCTCCAATTTCTCATTTCTCCATCTGGTTGCCTCGCTCTTCCAGCTTCCTACTCTTTCTTCTCTTCTCCCTCCTTCTCCCTCTACCATCCTAAACCACACTTCCTTTGTGTTCAGGTCGCAGTCTCACGAAGCGGCTTGTCACTACTTCATTTATCTATATCTCCCATACCTACCTAATAATATCCTCCTTTAATCCTTTCTCCTATTCTCAACTCTGTTGACAGGTATGTGGGTTGTTCAATATATTATTATTACCATGGCGGATGCATTCCCCTCCCACGGATTCTTCCCACACAGCACCCGCTTTATGAAAACCTTCTTGATCTCTTGACACTGACATCTTGCTCGATCTCAGAGTATTCAGCCAACATGCCTACCTCTGCTCCCCTCGTCAACACCGCCAATGGCGCCTCCGCCAACGACAACATCACCCGCTTCGACCCCCCCAGCCGTGTGCGCTCTCCCCTCAGCAACGCCCTCTTCCACAACAAGACGAGATGTTTCGTATAGTAAGTTGTGGTCTATAGCCGTGCTCAATTGCTCTGGCTGACAACCTGCCACAGTGGTATGCAGCCCCGTGCTGTCCAGGGTATGCTTGACTTCGACTTCATCTGCAAGCGTTCCACTCCCTCCGTCGCCGGTATCATCTACACCTTCGGTGGCCAGTTCGTGAGCAAGATGTACGGCAAACCAGGTCCCATCTCCTGAATTGAGATACTGATGCAATTACAGGTACTGGGGTACCAGCGAGACTCTTCTCCCCGTCTACCAGGATGTCTCCAAGGCCATGGCCAAGCACCCTGACGTTGACACCGTTGTCAACTTCGCCTCTTCCCGTTCCGTCTACAGCTCCACCATGGAGCTCATGGAGTGCCCCCAGATCCGCTCCATTGCCATCATTGCTGAGGGTGTCCCCGAGAGAGTAAGTTTTGCAAATCAGAGACACCATGTTGCTCTCCGCTAACAGCAGACCAGCGCGCTCGTGAGATCATGGTCAAGGCCAAGGAGAAGGGTATCACCATCATCGGACCTGCCACCGTCGGTGGTATCAAGCCCGGTGCCTTCAAGATCGGTAACACTGGTGGTATGATGGACAACATCGTTGCCTCCAAGCTCTACCGCAAGGGTTCCGTCGGTTACGTCTCCAAGTCCGGTGGTATGTCCAACGAACTCAACAACATCATCTCTCAGACCACCGACGGTGTCTACGAGGGTGTTGCCATTGGTGGTGACCGCTACCCCGGTACCACTTTCATCGACCACCTGCTCCGCTACCAGGCTGAGCCCGAGTGCAAGATCCTGGTTCTGCTGGGTGAGGTCGGTGGTGTCGAGGAGTACCGCGTCATCGAGGCCGTCAAGAACGGCACCATCACCAAGCCCATCGTCGCCTGGGCCATCGGTACCTGCGCTAGCATGTTCAAGACCGAGGTTCAGTTCGGTCACGCTGGTGCCTCTGCCAACTCCGACCTCGAGACTGCTGTTGCCAAGAACAAGGCCATGCGTGAGGCCGGTATCTTCGTCCCCGAGACTTTCGAGGACCTTCCCCAGACCCTCAAGGAGGTCTACGATGACCAGGTCAAGAAGGGTATCGTCCAGCCCCAGCCTGAGCCTGTCGTCCCTAAGATCCCCATCGACTACTCCTGGGCTCAGGAGCTGGGTCTCGTCCGTAAGCCCGCTGCTTTCATCTCCACCATCTCCGACGACCGTGGCCAGGAGCTCCTCTACGCCGGTATGCCCATCTCTGATGTCTTTCGTGAGGACATTGGCATTGGTGGTGTTATGTCTCTTCTGTGGTTCCGCCGCCGCCTCCCTGCCTACGCCAGCAAGTTCCTTGAGATGGTCCTCATGCTTACTGCTGACCACGGTCCTGCCGTGTCTGGTGCCATGAACACCATCATCACCACTCGTGCCGGCAAGGACTTGATCAGCGCTCTCGTCTCTGGTCTCCTGACCATCGGTTCTCGCTTCGGTGGTGCCCTGGACGGCGCTGCTGAGGAGTTCACCAAGGCCTTCGACAAGGGCATGAGCCCCCGTGACTTCGTTGACACCATGCGCAAGGAGAACAAGCTGAGTAAGTGAACCTTCATTGTACCTGTAATGTCGAACAGCCTCGCTAACTATGCGCAGTCCCCGGTATTGGTCACCGTGTCAAGTCCCGCAACAACCCCGATCTCCGTGTCGAGCTCGTCAAGGAGTTCGCCAAGAAGCACTTCCCCAGCACCAAGCTGCTCGACTACGCCATTGCCGTCGAGACTGTCACCACCTCCAAGAAGGACAACCTCATCCTCAACGTCGACGGTTGCGTTGCTGTCTGCTTCGTTGACCTGATGCGCAACTGCGGTGCCTTCTCTTCCGAGGAGGTTGAGGACTACATGAAGATGGGTGTCCTCAACGGTCTCTTCGTCCTTGGTCGTTCCATTGGTCTCATTGCCCACTACCTCGACCAGAAGAGACTCCGCACTGGTCTGTACAGACACCCCTGGGATGACATCACCTACCTTCTCCCCGCCCTCCAGAAGGGTGGCTCCGAGGGCCGTGTCGAGGTCAGCGTTTAATTTTCTACTTAATACATTTACATCCTATGGATTAGTCATAAAATCCGTCATTGTTGACGTCGGAGTTGTGATGGCCTGTTTTCTTTTCACCCATGTTTCTTTCTGCATCGGTTTGGTTCGCTTCATATCTCATCTATTTCAACTTACAATCTGTAGTGGCACATGTGGCATGACTCGCTGTTAAAGGTTGATGAATATCACGCAACGATTAAAGAAATGTGCATCCTATATAATTCGTAAATCAACGTAGATGTATTACTGTTCTGGACTGTTTTATGCATGATTTAGTTGATCTGCGGTTCCTAAAGTATGTTTCTTCATCCGAGTAGGCGGTATATCCAGCGCAGGCCCACATGCGGCAGAAAAACGGCCTCTGCCCGCGCCGATCTGCTCGATATAACTACCATCTTCCAGCTTTCAAACATAATCAATCGACGTCAAACTTCCCATTCAGACCACCGCCCAATTGTCGATAATACCACACGCGCACTCTGCTAGGAGGTGGCGCGCAAAAAATCTCACCCCAGAAATCATCCCGCGAATCAACTTCTACCAAATACCACCTATCAACCTACCAGCACTACAACACAACCACCTCGAACTTTCCTCCATATCTCCAAATACCACCAAAATACTAAACAATGGTCCGCCTCAAACACCGCTACATCCTCCTCGATATCCTCTATCCCGACCCCTCAACATGGCCCGCAGCCACCTCCCGCACCAAGAACAACAACAGCAACAGCAACAGCAACCCCCAATCCAAATCCAAATCGCAAGCACAGCTACAAATCCACTCGCCCACATCCGACGCCCTAACACCCGGTCTACTAGCAAAGATGGTACGAGAGGAAGTCTCCCTCATGTTTGGCGATTACGGTGTTGGTAGATTAGGTGGTGCTGGCGCGGGGGGTATTAGTGGTATGTTTGTTTCCTTCCCCCTCTATCTTTGATTTGTTTTGTGTTTTCTATTTGCTATGTGTTGTGATAGTGAGGCTGATGGATGGTTTGTGGGTGTAGTGAAATATCTCTCCCCTGCTACTTCGACGGCGATTATTCGGTGTCCTCGCGCGTCGTTCAGGCTTGTCTGGACCGCGTTGACTTGCATGTCGCAGGTCCCTGGGTTTAGTGACCCTGGGTCGAAGAGGTCGAGTTCGACCAGGGCTTGTGTGTTTCGGGTTATTAGGGTGTCGGGGACGATGCGCAAGGCTGAGGAGGAGGCGATTCGTAGGGCCAGGAGGGAGATTGTGAGGTTGAGGGAGGCGGAGGAGAGTGGGGTTTTGGAGGGGTTGTTGGGTGGGTTGGTCGATGTGGGTGGGGAGGTGAGTACGCCGGGTACTGGGGGGGAGGGGGACGTGGATTTGGGTGTGGATGTGGATGTGGTGATGGAGAGTGAGGATGATGATTGATGATGGATTGATGTGGATGGGAGTTATGTTCTAGGATGGGGCATGGGACTAGGTGCTGGGAGTTTTGTCTTGATCGTTTTCATTAGAGATACCCTATATTATACAGTGTGTGTGTGGATGGAATATAGATGCTGGGATAGATTCCATGTCATGTCATGATTTTCGTATAACCTTCACGCCGCCATCTGGTATCGACCCCCTGCCCAGATCGTCGTATTCGTCGTCATCATCGAAGTTCATATTGGGTTGCTTTGCTGATGCTTCTTCGGCTGCCTTTTCGTTGGCTTTCGCCTCTTCCTCCAGCTGCTTTAGCTCGTGTTCATCGTACGTGTCTTTCGCGTCGAGCCACCGCTCTTGCACGTCTCGGATGTCCATCTGTCCCAGGCCTTCTCGGACAGCAACCTGCCAGATGGAGTCGTTGGCACCCTCGGCGGGTCCGAAGACGTAGCCACTGGCACGGTCGATAACGTGCAGTAGATTCATCATGCTCTTCTTGTCCTCTACGGCTAGCGTCTCGAAGCTTACTAGTCCGAATTCCTCCACTAGGTCGATGATCGCGTTGTTGAGCGGTCCGAACTTTTCGTGTGATAGCCGTGACGATTCGGCTTCGAGGTGCGGTAGAAGGTAGCTGAGGTCTTGCACTTCTGTATAGTAGTCAAGGTTGAATGGCAGCTGGGAATAGTTCGATAGGTTGTCGATCTTGGTGAGGACGTTCAGGTGAGGTAGATCCATTTGGAGCATGGCGCGGAGGGAGAGGAGAAGGGCGGAAATGTACATCGATGGTAGTGTGAGGTTGTAGGAGTCGATGAGATGGATCACGATGAGCTGCGCATCGTCTATTGTTAGTATCGCATAGTAATAACTCCGGATAGGGCGGGTAGGACATACTCTGTAGCCCATCTTCTGCAATTTGAAGAATATGTTCCGAAGGGAAGAGTGGTGTGTGAACAGTTCAACTTGGCCCGGGCAGTCGAACAAGACGTAGTCCTCTATCATATGAAAGAACTATTAACGTATGATTTTGTAGTACTTTAGACGGCATAATGCGCATACCTCCGAGATCCTTCAGTCCCTCCTCAAGCCAGTCAAAGTTCTCCTCTAATTCCTCCAGCGCATACAAGATACCCCCATTAGGCCCCAACTGATCCTCACTCATGATCTCCTCTAACGTGACAAGGTCGCGAACGTCCAGCGCGCACGGATATGATGTTTTATCATTTGCGGGGTCCAGATTCACAATGGAGCATTTGCGACCAATAGCTCCGAGGAACTGGTGCATGCCATTGCAGTAGGTTGACTTTCCGGCACCGGGGGGCCCTATCACGAGTTGCGCGAACGGCATGATGAAGATCTGCGCACAAGAATGTGTTCGATCCAGAGAATGTCCGACGTCAATGCAATCAATCGATGATGATGGCGGGGAGAATATTCCAGGGCGGTGGCGGATGGCAGAAAATGGTCTGAAGGTGAAGCTTCCATGACGACGGGCCGATCAACAACGATATACAATTGGGCTCGTTGAAGGTTCAAGCAAAGAATATGGCGTCAAGTAAGTCGCGTATTGATTCTGTGGCAAACCTCACCCACTGACAGGTACCAGATCAATTCTCTGTCGCATCTCCGCCGACGGATGCTATCTCCGCCTTGAAGTTCTCGCCCGACCCCGACTCTACGCGAATCGTCGTTTCTTCATGGGATAAGAACGTGTATTTGTATGACCTGCGCGACGAGAATGGCGCCGTCGGAGAAGGAAAGCTGTTACAGAAGTTCGAGCACCGTGCTCCGGTATTGGATGTGTGTTTCGGCGCAACCGAGGATGAGATCTACACGGCTGGCTTGGACTGGGACGTCAAGAAGTGAGTTCATGACACCTCCGTTAGCAACTGGCGCATCCTCAATCCATTCCCTGCTGACACCAAACAGAATCGATGTAGCATCATCCACCCAGACCGTCCTCAGTAGCCACGAGGCTGGCGTGCGCAGCGTCGTTTTCAGCAAGGAACACAACCTAGTAATATCCGCATCCTGGGACTCCACGTTGCATGTTCACCCGACGAACGATCCCGCCACAGCCCCCGCTATCATTCCCCTCCCCTCGAAGCCCTTCTCCATGTCTCTTACCGCTACGAAGCTCGTCGTCGCAATGGCTTCCCGCGCCCTACACATCTACGATCTGAAAGCATTGGCTATGCTCACCGCTCAGTCGGAGGGTACCGGCCCCAACAAGATTGAAATCGAGCCCTGGCAGCGAAGGGAGAGCAGCTTGAAGTTCATGACTCGCTCGGTGGCGTGCATGCCTGACGATGCAGGATACGCGTCATCCAGTATTGAGGGCCGTGTTGCGGTCGAATGGTTCGACCCGTCCGCCGAGTCGCAGGCCCGCAAATATGCCTTCAAGTGTCACAGACAGACGGCAGATGATGTCGACGTTGTCTACCCTGTTAATGCACTGGCGTTCCACCCGGTCCACGGTACGTTTGCCTCCGGCGGTGGTGATGGAGTGGTCGCGCTTTGGGATGGTATCGCGAAGAGGAGAATCAGACAGTACCAGAAGTACCCGTCGAGTGTAGCTGCCGTGGACTTTAGTGGTAATGGAAAGTACCTGGCGATTGCGATTAGTCCGGGCTTCGAGGATGGGAAAGATGATGTTGTCGAAGGGACGGTTAAGATCTTTGTACGTGAGCTTGGAGAGACGGAAGCGAAGGGGAAGGGCGCCAAATAAGCTTGAGTATATTGTCGCCTTATGAAACTGACTTACTTTGTCTTGATGACCGGCGTGCGGAGACTGGTGTTCTTGTTCTTACTTTTGGTTCATTGGTATCACAGTTACGAGGCACCAGGTTATAGAAAGCGTAAAATAGTCCGATTCGTGCTAACAGTCTACATGGTATCATTTTGTACTTGTACTTTTTCTTCTAATCTCTTGACGTATCGTATATGGCGTTAGGGAGCAGTCCCAATTAAGCAGTGGCCTTTCTGACGGACACCGAGCCGTCAGGCATACCGAAGTAGGCAGCAATAGGCTTCTGGCCTCCGACACCACCGAGCGCCTGCGCCTGAGGGCCCGTCACGCCAGAGAAGATACCCACGTCGAGAACACCGGGAATCTGCTTGATGGCCTGAGCGAGGGAGTGGACCTCCCACACGCCGTCCTTGCCACTGCCGTCCTTTCCAGCAGCCACGTCTGCCTGGGTCAGCAGAGTCTTGAAGGGAGCGTCGATAATGTAGAAGGCCTGGTCGGTCTTCAATGGGCCTTGCTTGGCGTCGGAGTTCACGCGGATAGCGGGGTCAATGCTGCCAATTTCCTTGAGAGCACCGAGAACGCGACGGGCCGCGATAGGAGCGACTTCGATGGGGATGTATTTCCAGCCGGTGAGCAGGCGGGACTGGAGCTTGCGGGAGTCTATTAAGCGGGAGGTTAGTGCACATGCCCTCCAGACACTATCGATCGGCGCATAATATACTCACCAGCCACACAGATGAACTCCTTGGCCTGGAGAGCCACGATCTTCTCCTGGAAGAGACAAGCACCACCACCCTTGATCAGGTTCAGCTCATCGTCGACCTCATCGGCACCATCAAAGGCAACATCCAGAACCGTGCCTTCGGGGAGGGCATCAAAGTCCACCGCGGTCAGACCAGCGTTGACAATCAGCTGCTTGGACTGGAAGCCGGTGGGGATGTATTTGGTGGTGGAGGTGTCTATTCCGGACTCCTTAATGGCCTCGACCACGTAGACAATGGTCGAACCACTGCCAATGCCGACGTATTTGGCGTCCTTGGGGTAGTGGTTCTCGACGGCAGCCTTACCGGCTGCGCGCTTTGCGGCTTCGACGACGCTGGCCATGGTGGAATGACGGCGAAAGGTAGCGTTGGGAATGAAGAAGAGGGGCACAACGGGAGGAGACGAGCAATTTGATCGTAAGCAGAGACGAACACGAGAATAAGTAGAAGATGAGGGGAAACCGCCGAGCCGGGATCTGTTGTTAAGATTAGTAGGCGGACTATTCCGGGGACAAGAAACCCTCGAATCGAGCCCCTGCAAATTCGGGGAGGAACCGTCAAATGTAGTGGATGCCCGCGGTGGGGGGAGATGCGACAAGCCCAGGGAAAGTTTTCCAGCAAAAGGATTGGACCACTTACAGGGATGACAGACAGCCACGCGGAAGTGCAAATCTCATGGCATAGCAATTGAGATCTTGACAGCTTATATCATCCGCTTACAGAGTAGATCCGTCTGATAAATGCAGCGAGTGACAGATTGTTGTTCGGCGTCTTTTCCTCCGGCGGGGTTGTGTCGTCATAGTATTGGCAGCCTCAGGCATACAGGCAGCAAGGCCACAAGCAGCTCCGGTGGGTCCGTGCATCGCATCGATCATGTGACTACAGCCAACATATGGATTCCATCGCTCTTACTTGATCGGAATATCAATACCTCAACAAGTCGTCGGTCCATTCGGGTGCTTGTGATCGTGTTGCTCCATCTTCCTACAACCAGGGATTGTCACTGGAACATTATTCCAGCTTGTTGATCCCCCTCCTTTCGACCTAACTTGTCTTTGTCTATCTCCGTCTCTTCTCCGCTTTAGCCCCTCATGGCAGAGGCCTTCCCGAGTGCGTTGGTTGGACCGTCCTCGAAAGAGAGGAAATATGATCGCCAATTGCGCTTGTGGGCAGCAAGTGGACAGCAAGCCCTAGAAGAGTCCCGCGTGCTTCTCGTCAACTCTGACGAACCCTGGGGCAAGCACAACACGGGTGTACCCGGTGTAGTCGGCGTGGAAACCCTTAAGAACCTTGTACTTCCTGGAGTCGGAGGTTTCACGATTGTGGACCCTGCAGTTGTCACCGAGCCGGACCTCGGGGTCAACTTTTTCTTGGAAGAAGAGAGCTTGGGCAAGTCCCGAGCCGAGGAGACCTGTCGATTGCTACGAGAACTAAACCCGGACGTAGATGGAAGCTTCCATACTAAGGTGACTTCATCCACCCCAACTGCTCGATCCTGCTGCAGAGCTAACGAAGACTGAGCACAAGTCAATCTCAGAACTGTTGAAGGACCCAGAGTTTCTTCCGCAGCACAAGCTGGTCTTGGTGTCTGGACCGGTAAAACGCCCTTCTTTGGAGGCCATTTGCAAGGCTGCTAAAGAGTTTGGCATCCCAGTAATCTACACACGCTCGGTTGGATTCTATTCCACCTTCTCTCTCCAGCTCCCGGCCGCATTTCCTATAGTAGAGACACATCCAGATCCTGAAAGCACACAGGATCTCCGTCTCCTAAACCCTTGGCCTGAGTTGGCAGCGGCCGGTGCTAGCATTCGCAACCTGGACAGCCTGGATGATCACCAGCATGGCCATGTTCCGTACATTCTGCTTCTTCTGCATCACCTAGAGCAGTGGAAAGAAGCGCATGATGGCCAGGTACCATCGAACTACAAAGAGAAATCAGAATTCAGGGAACTGGTGCGGTCTAGTGCAAGAACAAGCAACCCCGAAGGTGGAGAGGAGAACTATGATGAGGCTGTTGCCGCAGTTTTGAAGACCTTGAACCCATTCAGCTTACGCAGTTCCCTTCGTGAGATCTTCGAGATGGAAGAATGCAAGCACCCAGCCCCGGACTCGGCCAACTTCTGGATTATCGCGGCGGCAATCCGTGAATACTACCAGAGACACAGTGTACTTCCTTTACCGGGCTCTCTACCCGACATGAAGGCTCAATCAGCCGACTATGTTTCTCTTCAGAACATCTACAAGTCAAAGGCTCGCAAGGACATAGAAGAAGTTACTCAGATCGTCCGAAGCCTTGAAGCACAGCTTGGACCACGCCCGGCCCCAGCTTCGGACAAGGATATTGAGGTCTTCTGCAAGAATGCGGCTCACATCAAGGTTATCCATGGCCGCGATATTCCGATAGTGGATGGGGAGGCAACTACTTTAAAGGCGATTCGGAACAACATTGATATTCCAGACTCCCTTGTGCCGACCTTCCTTGCCTTCCAGGCCCTGGATGATATAATCACCGACATACAAGCGGGCAAGATATCAGAGGAGGCCTTGGATGATGAGAAGGTGTGGGACTCTGCAATAGACCGCATCCTTGGAGCGCTTCAACCTGAAGGTGCATCCACTATTGAGGACGGAGACGCAAGGGAGCGAATCCTACAAGCGGCACAGGAGCTACGGAGGACGCAAGGCGGTGAACTACACAACATCTCCTCGCTCACCGGAGGACTAGTCGCGCAGGAGGCGCTCAAAGTAATTACCAGGCAGTATGTGCCCTTGGATAACACTTGCATTTTTGACGGGGTGCGCAGCCGCAGCGAGATGTACAAGCTATGAAGACGGTGGCGAATATGAAACCTGCAGTAGCCCCCATAAGGCAGCA